TGAGGGAACAAAATAGCAGCAGAATCACAGAACCCAAGAAAGGACTAACAGTTACCAAAGGGAAAGGGATTGGGGAGGATGGGTGGGAAAGGAGGGAGAAGTGGTGGGGAAGAAGAAAGGGGGCCTTACGATTAGCATGTATAGTGTTGGGGGGGCATGGGGAGGGCTGTGCAACACAGAGAAGACAAGTAGTGATTCTACAGCATCTTACTATGCTGATGGACAGTGACTAATGCAGTATGTTGGGGGGACTTGGTGAAGCAGGGAGTCTAGTCAACATAATGTTCCTCATGTAATTGCAGATTAATGATACCAAAAAAAAAGGTGTTTGGTGGAAAAGAAAAATGCCTCAACTTGTCTGAGAAGTTGTCAGTCTAAACATGTGAACAGTGGGAGGAAGGTGGTGTTTAGAATCAGAAGACTTGGTTCTGGACCTGCAACTACCACTGCATTATTCTTCATCAACTTTCTCAATGCATTAGCCACACACAGGCAACTCACCAAGAAAGATTATAAAATGCCTACCAAAGAAGTGAGAAAAATGTCATACTTTACTAAAAATGAAAGGGTTTTTTTTCAGTGAAAATTCTAGTCTATTCAATTAGCAAAGTGTTTTGTTCTTTTTACAAAAGAAAAAGAGAGAATTGAAAATTGATATGATTTGGGATATAAATTGTTTCAACTTCTGTTGGAAGGCAATTTTGCAACACAGCTCTTGGTCCTATGACTCCACCCAAGGAAAAAGTTTAAATTTTAAATATTTACCTGAAGAAATATTTTAAAGAAATTTCTAAATATAGAAAAAAGCCTTCAGTAAAGGAAAACTAAAAACAACCCAAATGTTTAACAATAAGACATAGTTCAGTAAATTTATCTACAGTTTGAATTATGTTTATAAAGATAGGAAAATGCTCATACTACTAACTTGACAAAAAAACACCAAGTATACACAATTTGTCTGATTTCAGCATTTAAAATGAACACTTTTTTTTAAGGCATTTAAAATTGGGGGATAAAATATAGGGGGTACCCTTTTCAATGCTTGCTATTGTTTTCTAATTTTCTACAATTACTCTTTTTAAGTTTTTGAAATTTCATCTGGTTTGCATATTTTCTAAAGGCAAAGCTTACAAATTATTTTCTAAAATAATGTTCTAAAATATAATGTCTAAAAGCAAGTATTTTGCATAAAACTCAAGTACAGCCTGTTCTTTCCTTTTACATATTAACTTTGTAAGTTACAGAAAGGAAATAGGTGATATAATTGCCTCTTCTAAAAATACCTTCAGATTATCTGGCAGTTCTGATCGCCCAGCATACCCAGGGTTCATTGTTATGAAGACAGCACATGTGGGGTCAAGTTTCAGTTCAGTTCCTTCGAACACTAGTGTATCAGCACCTGCATTAATACCTGTGGGTAATCAAGAATGAAATGACTTAGCAATTCTACATATAAATGTGACTTGTGCCGTTCATTACCTCCCATAATTCTGTTTTCACATAATGCAAAGACAAACCAGTCTATTACCTCTTTGGATAGTAAGAATTTGTTGAGCAACCACAGACAGTACTTCCAAATCAATTCTGTTGAACTCATCAAAGCAAGCCCAGGCTCCACAAGATAACAGTCCCTGAGAGAAAAGAGTAATGAAATTTTTCAATTTTATCTGATTGAATATTTCATTGAAATGTTGCATTTTCACCTGATCTTTTCAAGGATTTAATATCCTATCAGGGAAATTGCTTATTCACCTTTATCTTTTTAAGAAGGCTTATTTTTTATTACAGTTCACTGTTCTGCACGAATAAAGAGTCGACCAATTGGAAAGTTTTCAAATTGAGATACATATATATATTTTACTTTCTATACATCTTTTGGCATTTAGATGTATACCTGTAATTTCAAAGGCTTTCTTACTTTTTATTTACAAGTTGATTTTATTTGCTTTTTCCACATAAACTCTATCAAATGAATTTCAACAATTCTCTAATTAAATGACTTCTGTTGCCACTGAAATGACTCTGTGGTCTGAGCACCTTAACAGTCAACTAACATAGTTTGAGGCCCTAGTTTGCAATCCTCACTCACAACTACCTCACAAATATGTGCCATCTGGTCATAAGGAAAAACCCAAAAATCAAACTCAAGTAGGTCAGTCCAAATTCAGATTTATTTTTTTAAAAAATCGATTCAACAAATATTTATTGAATGTACATCCTATAGCTTGTATATTTATGTATGTGTGTCTCACTGAGTACCTGGTAGTGCATGCATGATGAATGGCACTTTGTACATATCTTTTATATAAGGAAACGAAGGCTATATCATGCAAGAGGCTGAGTAATCAGTACATGGCCACATAGCTAAGAGAGGCTGACCTTGGATTTGTACACAGTGCAATCTACTGAACCACAGTGGATTAAACATGAACTCCATACATGTCAAAAAATTGTATATTTTCAATATTTAGAGATGACTGTGACTTTGATCTCTATACATGATATAATAAAATGATGAGAAATCACAGAGAACAGAATGCTTATGAATCTTCATATTCAGTTATATGGATTGTGAGGTTCTTAACATTAAGATCCATGTCTTTTTAATTTTGCACCCCCATTATTCAGCATGATCCTAACAGTGTCCACATAATCAATAATTGTCAATAAGCAAATTTAATGCTATGTGTTATCTATATCAAAGAATTAAGAATGTCATTATATAGATTCAAAACTGAGTAGAACACACCAGACTTTTCTTTAGACATTTAGGAATATAATGGCTATTCAAACCTCATATAGAATCTTTGAGTTAATATTTCTTTCTTAAATAATAATCACAAGTTTGTACATCATTACAAAAGATGTTTAAAATGCTAACTGGTCATTCAAATCTTTTGATGTTTTATTTATGATACATTAGACTTTTTACTCCTTTTCTATTGTTTCAGCATAACAAATGTAGAGATTTTCTATATATCCCAAATCTGCTATAAAGTGACCAGGCCATATTTCAGCCAGGAACAGTTTACTGCCTGGGACAGGATTAGTATATTCTTTTTTGTTAATTTGGTTATTTTTTTAAATGTTAACTTTTTCTGGGGAAACTTTAGAAAAGCAAGGATTGCAGAATCTTTAAAAAGTACTTTGAAAATTATAGAAAACAAATAAAATTCATAATCCCAAATGGATAATTTTGTGTTCAATTGTACCACCTAACATTTTAAGGAATAACAGGCTATAGCAACAAAGTGCTAAAATGGCCAGATGTTCACAGTATTAGGCAGAAAGACAGAAATGAGCGGGATGAAAAGGAGAAAGGGCCCCTCAAAGATGACTCAAGGAGTTGATCAGATAGAGCCAGAAAGCCAGAAATGACTCAGAGAGTTAATCAAATGAAGCCACAGGGTCCAAGAGTGACTCAGGAAATGCCCAGCATCTCCCCAGATAAGAAACATCAGAAGCACAGGCACAGGCACAGGAGCCCCTGTCCCCGTCTCACCAATCAGAAGCCCAGAAACCTGTCAGCTGTCAATCAAGGACCTCTCTGCCCTGCCAAAACCACATAAAAGAAGCTTTAGAATAAGCACCAGGTCCTGTCTCACCTTAGGCAGGCCCGCTCTGTTACTCTGTGCAGTGTATTAAAACTTACTTTGCTTTATTTACTTGGTCTCTCCTCTCACTATACCTGATTTCCCTGTGACACCAACCCAAGTTCCTTCTTCCTAACAATAGATTTAAACACAAAGACTTTATACCTTTAATTTCCCCTTTTGCAATCTTACAGACTCGTAAGGGTGGGAATCTGACTCAAAATAAGGAAAAAACAAAACAAAGATTTCAAGTTGACCAGAAAAGATGACCTAGAATGTATCTATAAAAGTAAATTATTGAATCATAATTTGTTCATAACAAGATACAGATTTACGAACTCTTTAGACTCCCACAGTCTTTATACAATGTAGAAGCTCTCAAACTTGTAGTTGCCCAAGGTATTCAAGGGACACGACACACTCCTGTCAGTAACACTGAACTATTATAGCAGGGACTGAAGAAGGAGGTGGAGCTACTTCTCAAATAAGCTTTTGATACAACACTACTTCTCTTGAGAATTATTGAGAAAGTACTTTCATTTGAACTTTGCTTAAGCTGCAATAACTCTTTTACTTGCATTGTTATGTTTCATTATAAGTAACCTTCATCTTTCAGCAGTTATATTGTAAAGATATGAGGAGTCAATTCAAACCTTAAAGAACTTTCCTAAAGCCAGATAATCCAATCCATCAGAGCAATTGAAAACAACACATTGTTTGGCTATAGCTTTTGCTAAATCTTTGGTAGTTTCAGTCTTTCCAGTGCCAGCTGGCCCCTCAGGGGCTCCTCCAAGGTGCAGGTGAAGGGCTCCAAATAAGGTTCTGAAACATAAGAAGAAAGCTTTGGAGAACAATATGATTTTCTTCAAATACATTCTGAAAATAGGAAAAGTTTAAACTGAGAACCAATTTTCCACTTCAGTAATGTCTTACTTCCCACTAACCTCTGAAAATCTTTGTGCATTACTTTGTTTTTATGAATATGACAAAATCAGGAAAAAAATCACTTTTGAAATTCAATACTGATTCCTGGCCAATATGGAGAATTCAGGTGATCCTTAACAACCCACTTCCCCTACTGCAAATATGGAAATACTACATAAAAGAAAACAAATAATAATTTTTGAAAAACATAGTCATTTTTGAAAGAATGAAAAGGTAATCACCAATGAAAATAGAATGCAAAGCTAGAAAAGTCATTAGATGCTAAAGTTATAGAGGCACATACTGTTTGGGGATCTGCATCTAAACACAAGTGCATTCATGTCCCTACAGAAGAGAAAATAAGTTGTTAAAACTGAGTAAGGTGAGATGCTAGAATAGTCACATGTATAAACCTAGATGCTTTGAAAAGCTGCTTGTCTCTAATTGGGAACTAAAAATTACTCCAGTAATCTACTCAGGAGAGACAAAGAGTCAGAAGAGACTGAAGCAGAGACAGGAAGCTCAGCCTTCCTGCAGGGCCCCATGAGAAGTCTATATGATTCATGAGGGGTGGGGTCCAAATTTATATCATGCAGCGGCACATGAACCCACACTGAGAAATTAGCATTAAAATTTTCTTCTGGACCACAGAAAACCCTAGAGCTCTCCTCAGATAAATGTGACATTGCTCCACATGGACACCTCCACAGCTGAGAATATGTAAGACTATCTGGGGAAACAACCCCTACTGAAATGAGCTCACAGTTAAAACTGGAGAGAGGTCAAAGAGTCAGACATGTAGTGGCAAAGGCAGATGGACAAACCTCTGGGAGGGTTACTGAATACCTGGCTCCTTTGGTATTTTGGTGATTTGTTCAACAAGGTTTTAAATAAAAAGCAACAGGTGTCAGAAAATTTTGAGGAATAAAAGGAGCCAGTTTCATAAAAGAGGTAGCTTGAAATGCAGTAATGAATAATATGATCACTGAACTTTTAAAAACTCAGTGAACAAATTAAACACCAGAGTGAATATAAAGAAACAGAATTATGCATTAGAAGATAAATATGAGGAAATCACCCAGGGAGATACGGAGATTGAATATAAGAAAAGTTAAGAGACATACAAGAAGAAGGAAGAGAATGGGGAAAAGGCAGGATTTTAAAGGCAATGGCTGACAATTTGCCAGAATTAAAGAAGCACATGAATTTATCTCAACTGGGATAAATAACAACTTATCCACATCTACTAACATTATTAGAGTAAACATCAATAATAATGAGAAAATCTTACATAGAATATTACCTACAAAGGAATACTGATTAGAATAACAGACTACTCAGCGGTAGCAAAGATTCCCAGAAGAACAGTATCTCTGGAGCATTAATGGAAAATTGATGCACACCCACAGTGGTATACCTAGCTAATCTATCATCTCATAATTGAATGAAGGCCAAAATAAAGAGGTATTTTTAGACAAAGACAAATACAGTGCAGTACGTGCAAAGTCTCACAGAAACAATTACTAAAGATGTTGCCTAGTAAGGAGAAAAGAATAGACCACGAATAAGGCAAAGGAGGAAGCAATGGTGAGTAAAGACAATGATAATATTTTTGGTAATCATATATAAATATTAGCTGTAAAAAATATGTAACTGTATATAAATAACCTTATTCTGTCTAAGACTTGTGACTAAATCCCTCAGCTGAGAACAACATATGCTAGACCATCTGATTTTACAGAGAGTGAAATTGGTTGCCTACATCAGTGCACATAGAAACTGGAAAGAAGTGAGAACCCAGGAATGAGGATTTCTTTGGAAAGAGTTGGTGTGTTGTGTATTTCCCCTCCCCGTCTATGGAGGGAGAGAGTACTTGTCCCTCCTCCCAAGCTAACTGAGGGGCTTTAGAGAACTACTCAGAAATCTTGGTACACTGGCCCCTTGGGTTTGTGGAACACAGGAAGTTGGAGCTGACTCACAACTTAAAATATTTCAAGTCAAGAGAATGCCTGCAGCTTCTCCTGATGGCAGGGTAGGAGAAAACAGGGACAGTAAGAGAGATATACTCACTGCTGGCAAAACAAATTCATGTTATATCATCTGACCAGAATCCCCATCTCATTGGAAGGGAGCCAGATTTGAGTCATGATGAATGAGACCCTGTACAAGAGGCCCACCTAGGATCAGAGAAGTCCCCAAGGGAAGGGTCTGTACGTGGTGAACTTCAGACAGAGGCTGAAGCAAAAGTCACCAGCAGCCAGCCAACAACGGCATTTTCCACAGGTGGAAGGATCCAGTGACTGTGTGTGTATAGGGGAGACCTCCAAAGAACCCACATAAACATCCTCTGAGAGATCTGGGAAATCTTGGCTTGTGCCATCACTGAGGGCACTAAATGGCCAAGAAATAGTTGCTGCACAGGACACTTGTTATATTTAACTTTACCCTCCCTTTTCTTCTACTCTCCTCCATCAAACTCTGACATTGGAGGAGAAGAAAGAAGAGCTGTTGAGGTGTGGATGCAAAAGACAGGGATAAAAATGACAAAATACGGACCACCTTTACCCTCCCAAATTCAGGTCCTGAACTTGAGTTGGGCTCAAGCTGTGGAAAAAGGGAAGTTGTAAGTTGGATCAAAGATATTAATTTTTAGTATCTGAGAAAATAACACTATTCATTAATATCTTACAGCAACAAGAAAAACTAGAGAATCCTATATTTCATACAGGAATGGGGAAAAATTTTTGATATAAAAAATTTAAGAGAACTGTGATAAGAAAGAATCAAATTGCTTTTTGTTTGCATCCTAAAACTTGATTTAGTCTACATACTAGTTAAAATGACTAATTTTTTGGAAGAAAATGAAAAAAAAAGTTTAACTTGGTATTTAACAATAATTTGGGGTATGGGAGATGGGAACTTGGAGTTAGAGTAGTTAAAACCCATTTATTATTAAGGAAAATTAAAGAAAAAAATGTAAACATAAATACCTCTGGGATAGCTAATGGAGGTATCTAGCAGGCATCTGTGTGGGTAAAAAATTCTGGGGAAGACCTTGACTGGAGGAACAGATCTGAGGATTTTCAAGATGTAGGCTTTTAAAGCCCGAGAGCAGACAAGAAAGCTCAGGAAACAATGAAGCATGAGACAAAACACTGTATGACAACAAACCTAGAAAACTCCCTGTTTCACAGGATGACTCAAATGATCCAAAAGGAAGAGGCTGAAAGTTTCCAGAAGGAGGAATTAACAATGCAAAAAGCAACTGCAATCCCTGAGAGTGCTTAGAGCTCCAGAGCTGAGGCAAAGAAGTCAGCAAAGAAAGAGAAACTGAAGATCAAATTGAGAGAGAATTAGGTTCTAGAAAGGGAACACAAGATACATTAACCAGGTGGAAAATAATTTTGTACTTTTAAAGGGATTAGTGGTCTAGGGGTAAAAGTTACTTCCTTAAGTTAATGAGTTTACCTGTAACATCTGTCAGTAAGTGGAGTAATAACCAGTCTTGGGGAATTGCCCAGATATTCATATCCATATCGTAAACCTGCATTGATCATCTTTGTTTCTAAATGATTTTCCTAGGATAAATCAGATAAAATTAAGGTAGCTTAAATAACAAAATTTTAAATATGAAATCTCAAGCTATTTAGTAAATAATGGTCATGTTGCAAATAACATCTCTAAAATTAACTTTTATGACATCATTTAATTCTGAAGAAGAATTAAATAGTTGGTTTCTTTGGATAAGTAATTAAAGCCACTGGCTTCAATTTTTCCCATAGAATATCTTCAGAAAATGTATTTCCTCCTTATCGCTCCTATATTTACTTTCTTTTTTTAACTTGCTAACATTTATTTATCAATGTATAATTGACATACATTATACAAGTTTCAGGTATACAACATAATGATTCATTATTTGTATGTATTGCAAAATAATCACAATAAGCCATCTTATTGTGGTTAATATCTGTCACCATATAGTCACAGATTTTTTTCTTGTGAGAAATTTTAAGATTATCTTAGTAACTTTCAAATATGCAATGCAGCATTAACTATAGTTGCCATACTGTATATTACATCCCCATGATTTATTTTATGACTGGAAGTTCTAACTTTGACTCCCTTCACCCATTTCTCCCATCCCCCATCACCAGCCTCTAGCAACTACCAATCTTGTGCAGTTCTTGTTTTGTTTTGCTTTGTTTTTAGATTCCACATAAAAATGAAATCATACAGTATTTGTCTTTCTCTCTCTGACTCATTTCACTTAAGACATGCCCTCAAGTTCCATTCATCATGTCACAAATGGCAAGATTTCATTCTTTTTATGGATGAATAATATTCTGTGGTACATATGCACCACGTATTCTTTATGCATTTATTTGTTGTTGGATATTTAGGTTGTTTCAATATCTTGGCTATTGTAAATAATGCTGAAATGAACATGGGAGGTGCATATATCTTTTAGAGTTAGTGTTTTGTTTTCTTTGGATAAATAGCCAGAAGTGGAATTGCCATGTCACAATATTTTTTTTTATTGTTTTGAGGCACTTTCATAGTGCTTTCCATAGTGACTACACCAATTTACAATCCTACCAACAGTGCACAAGGGTTCACACCCTTTTCTCCATATCCTTACTAACATTTGTAACCTTGTATCTTTTTTATAATAGTCATTCTAATACATGTGATGTGATCTCATTTTGGTTTTGACTTCTATTTGTATTTCCTTTGACTGGTGATGTTGACCACCTACATGTTTTCTTTGGAAAAATGTCTTTTCAGATCTTCTATTCTTTAAATCAGACTTTTTTTTGCTATTGAGCTATGTAAGTTCTTTATATATTTTGGATATTAATCCTTATCAGTTATGTGATTTGCAAATGTTTTCTCCCATTCATTAGGTTGCCTTTTCATTTTTTTGATGGTTTCCCTTGCTGTTCAGAGGTGTTTTAGTTTGTAGTCCCACTTGTTTTTGTCTTTATTGCCTTTGCTTTTGGTGACAAATCCAAAAAAATCATTACCAAGACCAATGTCAAGAAGTAATGTTTTCTTCTGTTTATGTTTCTTCTGTTTTCTTCTAGTTTTATGGTTTCAGGTCTTACATTCAAATCTTTAATCCAATTTGAGTTAATTTTTGTGTATGGTGTAAGACAGTGGTCCAGTTTTCCCAACATGATTTATTTAAAAGATAGACTGTCTTTTCTCCATTGTATAGTTTTGGCCTCCTTTGTTTTAAATTAATTGGCCATGTATGCATGGGTTTATTTCTGGACTCTTTACTCTGCTCCATGATCTATGTGTCTGTTTTTATACTAATGCCATTCTGTTTTGATTACTCTAGCTTTGTAATATCATTTGAAATCAGAGAGCATGATGCCTTGAGCTTTGTTCTTCTTTCTCAAGATTACTTTGGCTGTTTGGGGTCTTTTGTGGTTTCATACAAATTTTAGGACTGTTATTCTATTGGGGTGAAAAATGCCATCACTCTTTTGATAGAGATTGAATTGAATCTGTAGATTTATTTGGATAGGATGGCCATTTAAACAACATTAATTCTGCCAATCCATTAGTATGGATTGTGTCTTCAATTTCTTTCATCAATCTCTTACAGTTTTCACTGTAGAGGTCTTTCACCTCCTTGGTTAACTTTATTCCTAGGTATCTTATTCTTCTTGATGCAACTGTAAATGGAATCATTTTCTTAAACCCTTCTTCTGATAGTGCATGATTCTCCTATATTTTCAGTCATTTGTTCAATTTGTTTTCACTATAGAGTGAATATTATCATCACCATTTTACAGATAAGGAAACTGATGCTTTAAAAGAATAAGTAAGTTTCCCAAGATATGTATCTGACATTTAATATGATAATTTCATAGTCTGAGCTCCTAATCACTCTATACATGGTCTCTGATATGGTTTTCCAAGACACTGGTTCTTTTATCTTCTTTCTTCCCATCCATACTTCTCAAGCCTTTCATGAAAGCAAGGATGATGAAAATTTTCAAGTCCTTATCTCTAGTCATCAGTTCTCTCTTCCCACTCTCAATAGGCCCAGACTTGTCCACTGTACTATTTCCGCTTCTCCTGCCTTCCTGATAGTGACTGCCATATCACCCACCAGGATGCCCTGACAAAAACCTTGCTTCCAGACCACATTCCTGGTTCCTTCAATTAATCAACAAGAGGAAACTTCAATGACTAAATCAGACCTAAACAGTCTGATTTGCACATTCTTCAGATGTATCAGGAATCTAAGAATGTAATTTTAAACTGACTAGTTCCAACATTTTTCAGATTCATCAAGCATAATGACTCATTTAAAATGAGTAATTTTTTATAATTACTCATAATTTATATGTGTCTATATATGTATATGTATTTCTATGTAATTATACATTTGGATGTGGACTTGGCTATAGATACAGTTTTAGGATGGATGATATAGATATAGTTTTTGGCTGCCTTCATCTTCAATCTGGAGAAAGCTTGTTTGGGTAGAATCAGCCATCAGCAAAAAATTCTATATTATTGGTACTATTTCCCATGTGAGAAAGCAAGCACAAATTAAAAAGCTGTGAACTGAAATTGCTGTGTAATAACATTCAGTGATATCACTTACTTGCCAGTAGTATCTAAGCTGACTTAACCATTCGAAGTCAGATTCATCACTAACTTTTTTATTAACAAGTGATGTGAGAACATCTCTAGCATGGACATCCAGCACCACGAGGGCTCCCAGAGTGACACGATTCTGCTTGGACAATTTGCCACGGACCAAGGTGACAATATCATCAATTTGTTTGTTACATTTTTCCAAGTATTGTTCAAGAGCCTGAAATAATATAAGGCGTGATTACTCAATGTACTCAGAGTCCTTTTGAACAGAAACATTTTGAATTAGCAGGCATGCAGAGTATTTTCTTTTTTCTTTCTTTTTTTTTTTTGAGAGGGCATCTCTCATATTTATTGATCAAATGGTTGTTAACAACAATAAAATTCAGTATAGGGGGGTCAATGCTCAATGTACAATCATTAATCCATCTAAAGCCTAGTTCTCGTCAGTCTCCAATCTTCTGAAGCATAACGAACAAGTTTTTACATGGTGAACGAATTCTTACATAGTGAATAAATTCTTACATGGTGAACAGTACAAGGGCATTCATCACAGAAACTTTCGGTTTTGATCACGCATTATGAACTATAAACAATCAGGTCAAATATGAATATTCATTTGATTTTTATACTTGATGTATATGTTGATCCCACATTTCTCCCTTTATTCGTATTATTATTTTTATTTTTAATAAAATGCTGAAGTGGTAGGTAGATGCAAGATAAAGGTAGAAAACATAGTTTAGTGCTGTAAGAGGGCAAATGTAGATGATCAGGTGTGTGCCTATGGACTAAGTATTAATCCAAGCTAGACAAGGGCAGCAAAACATCCATGGATGCAGAAGATTTCTCTCAAAGCAGGGGGGATGAGGTTCTGAGCCTCACCTCTGTTGATCCCCAATTTCTCACCTGATGGCCCCCCTGCGACTGTGCCTGTCTTAGGTTGTTCCTCCCTTGAGGAATCTTACCCATCTCTGGCTAACCATTCATCTTCAGGGGCTATACAGGGAGATGTAAAGTTGGTAAGTGAGAGAGAAGCCATATTGTTTGAAAAGGTTAGCTTTTTACTTCTTCATGCAGAGTATTTTATACATTTTTATCATAATTTCTATAAGATATAACTTTAAAATACTCAACTTTTCTCACTACAATGGTATCATGTAAACAAACCCAGTATGGCAAGGTATAGTGGACATATGTGGCTTGTGTATCCCCAACATACTTCCCTTCCGTATTTTCACTCCTGTGTGCTCTATGGTTCTGATGAGCTGTCAGTCATATTGCCTCATCTCCATGGCAACATGAAGGGGATGTATGACTCAGTCAGAACCAATCATAATTCTTCCCAGGGACTGCTATACAGATAGAGGAACAAAGTGCTTTTCACTAGCCTTGGTAGACTTTGAATATGCCAATCTGAAGTTACTGCAAGCCTTCATTCCCAATGCAGAATAAAGCCTGCCAGAGACTAGCAGAGATGGAAGACAACAAAAGAGAAACTGCAATAGCAATGAAGCCCTGAAGTCCGGATTCCAATTGCTCTTCCTTGTTCCTTGGTTCCCAAGAGTCCTTCTAGTACTCTGTGTAAGCTGAGTAGGATTTGTGTTACATTAAATGTAAAGATCCTAATAAACAAAACATCTAATGCTTTAGTTTATGGTGAGTTAATGCTATTTCTAAAGACCAGGCTTGCTCTGGAGTCTCCCTGCCAGTGGTAAATCTAATTAGTAAGTTAAAAAGGAGAAGAAGGTTTATGATGAAAATCAAATTAGAATCAATGAAAACCACTGTGCTTAAGGGAAATGTCAATATGCTCCAGCAAGCTAAACTGGTTGCTTCCTCCACTCTAATAATATTTGATAAGCACTGTACACCAATGAGTGTATTTCTCTCCTTTAGGGCTAGGTAAATGATAGCAATGAATCAAAAGTAAGAATTTCCAAGGAGAAAAAGTTTGAAGCATAGAGTTTGGGAATTCAGGTTGCCTCTGTAAGGGGCCCTTCTCTCCCTTCTCTTATTCCTTGAAATATTTTTCTTATTTTTTATTTTTAAGGAAGTCACTTTTTGCAAAGGACTTATGTTTATATTATTAACATGATAAATTGTTGTTAATTTGCTTCATAAGTAGTAAAAAATAAACTCTGTCCTACCCATGTTTAAATATCCATAAGTGCTTAAGTCTTTGGATCCAATTAGTGAATTATGGTATTTTGAGTATAAAAAATAGTAAGAACAGTTTTGGTCTTAGGAACACAAGCTATGCCAGTTGGTGTATCTCTTAGTTTTCTCATTGGAAGCTGGGATCTCTGACAGCCTTAGTAGTTCTCACATTCTGTAGTTCAACATAAGACATAAAATCTAATGTTTGGACCTAACAGTACAAATTATATGTCCATAAGAATTTATTACTATGTACACTAGCAGAATGTATTTTTCTATACCAGAAAAACAGATTTAGAATTAAAATTTAGCTTCAAGCTGTGATAAACTGAGTTCTTTAGGAATTGAATTATCTGAATCAATGAGAATTCAGATTAGATTGAAAAATATGATATTGCTAGCACTTTTGTTACATATTATTCCTTGTAACCATTCTGTAGTGAGCTAATGAATCTGAAGGTAACTGCTATAATATTCAGCCAAAATAAACCCTCTCTAGAAGCAAATATTTTTCTCATACCTAGATCCTTCTACATACATAATGATACGATAACTCAAAATCACATCAATATTTGCAATATCCTGTGCTCTGCGACAGTGTTGTTTTTCATTCACTTTATAGCCCCTGTAATGCCTCATGTGGTCTAGTTGCACAATCAACATTCACTGAATAAACAAATGCAACAGATCCTCTGCAAGTATGACAGTGTAACATGGTACTATTACAGCATCAAGCTCCAGTCAGCCTGGGATGTTAGCAGAGAATGGAAGCATCCAGTCTTCTATAAGGCTGCCGAGAGTCTCCAAAGGCTCGAGCAAAGTCATCAGTTTGAGTCACACATTAATTAGCAGAAAAATTGTCAACACACAGAACACTAAAACATAGCTAGCCCCCATGTTATTATTTTTTATATGATCAATGCTATAGAATACCAAAACATGGTATTCTCCATGTGCTCCATATGCTGCTGCTACAGAACTTGAGCAGCCTGAACGTGGATGAAATGCGGGTGGGGAAGAGGGTGCAGAGGCGGCAGATGAAGAGCATACTGAAGCAGGGTAATCACAAGCAGATGAAAAGGACAAAAACTTTAAGGACACATATAAAGCTTAATTTCATACCAGGAAACTTAGCTATGAAAGCACCATAAAATACAATGGAGGAGTGAAAGCTGGCAAGCAACAGTGACAAAGGCGTAACCTGCAAAGCTAAAGCGTCAGAGGACTTGAAGTCTCTGAAGCTGAGTCACCCTTGAGGAGCAGTTGCTCAGGGGTCGGGTTCTCATTCTGGCTTTCTCTGTAAATGACTTCATACCTGCACCATGTTACATGAGTGGAAAAAAAATTGAATAGACTAATAAAGTAGTAAATAAACAACTCTCTCACTATCACTGGATACTGCTGTAAACTGAAAAACTATTTGTATCTGTAGGTGATATAAGAATTATAGGCAGACAGTTTTGAGCAGAGGACACATTGAAATGACAGTACTTAAACTGCGTGTCCCTTGAGGTTCAAATTTTGCTTGAGAGTTAAATGGAAGCATAAAAGGGCTATAGTTGATGCGTTAAAGCTCTACCTCAACACCTGTTCCTGCTTTCTTGGATTAAGACCAGAGAAAAATACAGTTTTGACAAAGGGGTAGAAGCTTGATAAACACCACATTTAAGGTGAAGAAATTTGGAAGATGCCTACAAATTTGCCTAATTTGCTCCCATTTGCTTCTTTGTTCCCTCCAGACTATTTCCCCACAGTGCTGAGTTACAAAGTTGGTATGTGGTTTGGGGGGCCAGCAAGCAAGGAAAGATATCCAGGAAGCTATGTGTCCCCCCAACAGCCCACATTGGCAAGAGAGGAATCTCTTTTTGTGGGGATGCTGGGGAGTGGTTGCTTAAAAGTGAGAGACAAAAAGAATTATCTGACCCACTCAGGAAAAAAGAAAAACACACCTGAGGTGAGACAACCAAGAGCCCAGAAATAACCCCAATGGCTTACTGCAGCTAGGGAAATGCTCATTCCCAGTGCCCTGGTTTCCATGAAGAAAGACTTTTTCCTGAAAATCCCTGACTTTCTGCCATACACTCTTATCCGTTACCGCAGAGGAGAAATAAGGTACCTGCTGGTATGTTGGCATGAACTAAGCATATGTTACTCAGCTACTTCCTCTTTGGGATCTGCCTGCTCATAGAGAACATGAGTCTCTCTCAAATTCCAACACTCACCAGTGTTACCTTAGACTTAGATATTAATATTGAACTCCATGCAAAGTATTTGAAAAACTCATAGTTTTAAACAAAACGTCTACAATAACTAGATTCTAATTGTTTGGCAAAGTTGACCTGCCTGGAATCTTTTTTTGAAGGATAAGAATATTGCTTTGAATGCAGTGTTTGCTTTTTATTTAATAGCAGCAATCCAATGAATAATATTATGAAATTTGTATAGCCAATACATTAGTATATTTAAAATAAACATTATCCAAAAAATAATTACTTATTCAAAATCAATACATTAACAGTAAAAATAATCAAAAATCAGTCAATACCTTGTCTTTATGAGGTAGTTTTACTCAAGGCATAAAAAAGAATTATATTACATTATTTCCTTCTAATCTCTTTAAGTCCAGGATTTTTCTTAGTCCTGTTAACACTGTTTTTAAAGGCACAAAATTATATATAACAACTAGATTGAAATTCAAGTACCCTTGACTTTTTGAGTGGATTGTCCTAATTTCTTTTTAAAGTAAGTATATTCTGGCAATAAATTGAAAAAATGCTGAAAAGCCTGAAGGTACTAAAAGCTTACCTCTTGCCCCCTTGAAATAGATGCTTGTACTTCTATTGTCCAGAAGGTCTGGGATACACAAAGAACTGTCTGTCCAGGCCAATCCCTCACCCAGTTAATTCGTTCATGTTGTGTGTAGGCAACAATTGCATCTTTAATCACCTAAATGGAAAATAAAATGTTAAAGCTGAGCAATTACACACTAAACTTGAAAAAAACTATGTACAACAAAAAGCAAAATTCCTAAACAGATTAACTCATACTGCTCAACTCTTTATATTATCTTAGCCAATTATGAAGACTCAAAGCATACGATTAGACTATTTAAACTCACGTTTATTCATATCCCTGTGAGCAAAAAAACAAATATAATACATAGCACTTTATTTTGCTGATTTGTCATCAATTTGTATGAATCATATATAGCAAATATTCATTTGACCAGATGTATCCAAAGATACTCTAGATACATTTGAATTGATGAAACAGGCAATTTTACCACAAAACATAAATTCAAATAAATCCAATGAGTTACATCAAACTCACAGTTTTTGTTGAGCTTTATTAGATCCCACTCAGCCATGCGCATATGTGTACATGCACACTCAGGCAAACCACACAATTTCTCTAAAGTACCTCTTTGTTTCTAGACCTCATTTGCTTTCAATCCTGAAGTTTGATGCCTAAGGCAATGATGAAAGGGATGGGTGTATAATTTACACATAGTTAAAAACTATAGAGTTAGGAAGTCTCATTTATGTACTTTGCTACATATGTTTTAGGTCTAGGTTATGTACTTTGGTACATATATTTTCAGTTGATTGACATGTCTCCTTTTTCTACTAGCCATCACTGGGAAACCTTCTAATCTATTCTATCAGCCCAAAACAGCAATCTCATGATTTGTGAGGTGATACCTACTTCAATGTTTGAATTTCAGGAAAGACCATCAAAATTAGATTTTTCTGAAAAATATATAAAAATGGGTGAACACTTCTGGATTTCTAGTCTAGCCAGGCTATTTATGGAGCTTAATAGAGAAAAAGAGCACTGTCAGCTATTGATAATAAAGAAAATTTTAAGGTAGAGGAAGACACAGAAAAGGCATTTGAAAACGAATAACTGAGGGATTGAAGGAACACAGAGAAGAGTAGAAAGCACAGTAGAGAAATGCCAAGGATGGAGTAAAGATGTGTTCTAGAAGGATGCTGGGGTCGAACAAAAGGAAGATATTAAAATCTAAATCACAATTTCTATATAGTTGGGTGAAGAAATATGATTATGTGAAGTTCTATAATATTATATATAGAATGTATCTATGTATGCCATATATATACAAATATGTAGCTACATATATTTTGGGGGTAGCAAGCTACATTAAGCCCATGATAATCTAGTAAGATAAAGATAAAGCAAAGGTGTCAAGAACATGATTTTTTAAATTATTTACAAATGACACAAAATTCACTTAATTTAGGCATGCAGTACCTTTTTAAGCATGCACATATGTATAGCACAACATAATCTCCTATTTTGTAGTATTTCAAATTACATTTCCTTGCATATTTCAACAACACAAACTCATGAACATTTGGGGAAGATATTTCCTCCACAATTCCTTGCTACCCTATCTTAATGACCTGAAATGGCAGCCAAAGTATTTTCTCTAAGCACTTTAACAAAATTAAAAGAATAGTTGAAATAGCATGAGTTATGTCTAAAATAATGAGTTATCACTGTATACATCAATTAACAAACCATTATATCCAATTCAATACTGCTAAGTAGTGGTCAAAATGGGTTTCATTTATATTAACAGCTACATAAATGGGAATGCTATTTGTCAATACTTATCAAGGCCTTTGAAAGCTCATCTTTTTTGACCATAGTCCTATACATGAGATGTTATAAGAAAATAATTCAATCAAAGAAACCAGCTATATCCATAAATATATCATTATAATTTAGTCCATAAAAAGGAGAAATGGGAAACTGTCCAAAAGAGTTTACACCTTTTGGAAAAATATTATGCAGATCTGATGTTAAATGTATATTTAGGAAGAGAAAGAAGCATCAAGATACATGATATGCATTAAACACCAGATTCCAATGAATTTTTTAATAATGTGTGAGAGAATATGAAAATTTTAATGAAAACTGTTGAAATCTGGTGCCATATTTCCTTTTCATTCTTGCCCTCATAACTCACTGCTCAACTGCGATATTTATTCCTGATGAGGAACTTGAAAGCTAAATCCACATTATAGTAGAAAGTGAATTTAAGTACTTAATTATTTTTGTTGACTTGACTCGAAAATATCTACTAACAAGAATGGTTACAAGTGACTGAGTTGATAATATGTTTTATGAGATGTGGAAAATATGAAGTTACCATTAATTGTAGGAAGTAGTTGTGATTTCCTAACATTTTGGTACATATTTTATATATATACAAAACAAAAGAATTCACCACAGAAACAACCATATCAAGGAGATTGATGTCAAACTGTAGAGACGTGCTTCCAAGACTAGATATACCCTGTAGACCAACATGTATCTAATGATGAAAGAACTAGCATGTGGCTACAAGAAAGGAGATATACTTGTGACTAAAATCCAAGTTTCTGTGGCATAGCTGGTATTTTGTCCAACTTTTTGAGAGACTGCAAAAATAATATCATGCATCATGTATCTTTGCCTTTAAGCTATTTATTATAATTGAACTGGTAATTCATGACTCAGTTTCTGCCTAAGAGTGCATTTATCAATGATTCATTAATAATCTATCATCTTTACTAGAAATAATAAATATAGCCAGTTACCTTGTGGATGGATTTTATCATAACTTTCTCTAACTCAGCCAACCACTTTTCTACTTGACCTCTGGCTTTGGCTGTTGAAATAGTCTCCGTGAGTTCCACAACCTCTCCTTCACTACTCTTCATGTGAGTAATGTCTAAGATTTCTGTAAATTCTACCTTTGCAATTCCTTCAAAACATTTCTTCAGGTGAGGTTGCACCCTAACAGGGAAAAAAAAAGTTTAAGAGCATTAATCAAATTTAAGCAAGTCCTTAAATTTCAGTGTTGTGTTTTGCACCAATCTTCATTCAAAAGTCATAAAAATGCATTCTGTGTTAGGCCCCTAACTAGATGTTGCTGGAGATGAAGTGTTGAAAAACAACAACAAAAAGACAAAATCCTGCCTACAGGGACTACACCATCCAGTGGGAGGTCATCATTGATTGAATGATTACAAAAAAATCTGTAAAATTACAATTGTAAGAGCTACAAAGGAAACATCCGTGAAGCTTTGTTTCAAACAAAATGAATTGAAAGATGTTAAAAGTAACATAAGGAGCAAACCAATCTTAATTAATAGATAATACACTAATTTGAAGCATCCTTGAATGCATGTAAGTAGTCGTTTAAACTGGAATCTTCAGAAACTGCTTGCAGATTATGAAGGTGCTTTAGTGCTTTAAGTACTTAACAGTTTACTACATCAGCTTCTTTGAAGATACCTAGCTTTAGTGTATTCATTGTAATACAGATAGAATGGACTAGACAAACCTCTTGTTTTTGGCATATTATTAATAACTGATTGAATTCCTCTCAAATAGGCAAAAAAGTAGAGTATAAAAACTAAGACGGTAATCTGAACCTAAATTTGTCTTCTTGTCTAGATTACTTGTCTCCTACTTTGAAGGCACAAGATACAAAAACAACAAGTTCATTCAACAAATATCTATTCACTCTCTGCTATATACTATATACTATTAAAAGGAATCAGCATTAGGGGAAAAAAAACAGTAAAAAATCTCTGCCACCATGGAGCTTGACGAAATCAAACAATAAACAATAAGTACATTTTGGCATATGCCAGATGATAAAAAGCATGCCAAAAGAAAATTAGGCAGAAAAGATAATCCAGGAAAGGTGGCTAGGGAGTGCTGCAGGGGCATGTCACTTTAAATACAGTGGAGAGTGGAGGCTTGCTGAGTGACAGGTGTTTGAGCAGGTTTCCACAAAGACCTAGAGGAAAAAGAGGTCCTATGGATATTTGGCTAAGAAGCATCCTAGGCAAAGAGAATAGTACGCTGCAGAGGGAGGATGCCCCCTTTTTGGAAGCAGTTCGAGGATATATTACAATGTGATACCATTACCATACTACAATGAATCCTCTGTAGCAGAGTGGGCAGGAAGAAAAAAGTGGGAGATGAATGGGAAGGATATCAGGGGACCACCCGTGTGGGTCATCACAAGCTACTGTGATGTGCATGGATGTGAGGAGTGATGTGCTCTAGAAAATCTGTAAGAGAACATGTGATAAAATAAGAAATTCACTCCAAGAGTCATTGCATTTGAAAAATCTCATTCAATGATACTACTCATGTTTTTAATAATTATTTTAACTTGATGATTGATAATATTTAGGATATCTTGAAAAATGTTATATAAACATAACTATGTAAATATTTATGCTCTGCCTTTTTCTAAAAATTGAATTTAAGCAGATAAATTTAGCCATGTGTTACATATATAAGTCATTTACCTACTGGGATCTTTAGTCTCAGACAGTATTTCAAGAAGTTCATCATTAGACAGGAAAAAGAATCTGGGGAAAAAGAGACGTTTCTTTTCTAAATATTCATTAAGTCCTTTAAGAATGAGTTCCAAAAGTTCATTAGATTTTTTCAGCCTTTCTAGCATTCTCTCAATAGTTACAACTGCCAGAACATGTTTATCCTAAAAATAAAAGAGAAAGCATTCAACTAAAAAATATTAGATAATAACTTTATTTATATTCAGATTTTTAAAATATTTTAAAAAGTAGTCTTGCATATATATTCTAGGCCTTATAACTAGCCTCTTTTTGACTTGGAAAATGAACATGAAATAAAAGAGAGAAAACACTGAATTCAGAAGAAGGATGGGGAAAACAAAATAGTATGAGATGTGTTTGTTTTTTATTCTTTGAGGAAAAGTACTCTAAAAAGATAAAAGTCATCATTATAATTATTATTTTGAATATTGTTATCGATGATGATATAATGACACAAGCCCTGTTTTATAACTGTAGGTAAAAGAGTAAGGTTTTCGGATTGGGGAGGAAGGAGTTTTGATAAAAATCTTACATTGCAAAGAACTACATTTGGAACTACACTGTAATACTCTGCTTGTTGAAGGACTTAAGTTCAGAGCGTGTTCCTCCTGAATTCTCTAGACTAAGACTGTTCTACTTTAAGGCATGGATTTCTGAACATTCCATCACATGAAAGTGCCACTGTGAACTTTTTGCTTTAAAGTGATTCAAATACAATGAAGTATTTTTAAAAAGTTTTCTTTTATGCTGTGGGATTCAAAATATCACCAAAAACTGATCTTAAGATCTAATATTTTTAAAGAGTAAGCAGTTTATTGATTTCTCAAAATATCCATACATGTCACCACTGGGTTTATGAAAATCTTTAGAAATACATATTAAAATACAATCTAGATATAGTTGAGATAAAATCATTTTAGTTTTCTTTTTTCTTTAACACGTAATTAATATCATTTGGATCTAGTTAGTCTTGGCCTTATAATTTCAAACTCATTGTTAGCATTGAACCAATGAAAAAGTTGAATAAGCTTGAATATGCTTAAAGGTGTTAGAAAGAGATGCTAAACACACTAGAGATTTTAATCACCATACCAAATAATAAACCTCATGAGAACACGCCAGTATGTTTATTAATAGGGCATTTTAGAAACTTTATTAAATTAAAACAAAAATACTGTTAAAATTAAATATGAAATCTCAAGAATATTTCAAAATATAATTTTTGACTTTTTTGAATTACAGTTTTCCAGTGTAACTAGGAAAGATCTCAATTTAATCAAGGGGAAAATTATTATTAATATTGTTTTCTCAATAAAACGGATCCATATGAAATATGTAACGACTAAACTAACTCATCTTTAAAGAGACACAATTTTAAAAAGGCATTTTATAATATGCCCTGGCAGTTTCATGTTTCAAGTAACCATTTTTAAACAAACAAACAAACAAATGAAAAGCAGGACTGAGACTCAGGTCATAATTTAATGCATAATTCGTCTAGTAAAGGATAGAGCAGTACTCTTGTACGCCTAAATCTAAAAAACAAAATAGTGTTCTTAGAGTGCCACCTTCTGGAAAGACATGCCTTTTTTTGTTGTTGGAAAAAAAAGTTTTTTTAGGCTGAATGGATGCTAATATATGTGAAAAACAGGTGTTTTCAGAAGCAAAACTACCTTAATAACCAAAAGTGACTGAAGAACTCTGGAATTAAACTGAAAGGTCAATAAGGGAGCCTCTCCCAGTGAGAAAGGAGCTTTGGAAGCAGATAACAAAATAAAATTATTTCATGTTTATATCTCGAGGAACCAAGACCCCTCCATTAACCTAAGTAACAATATCATTTACATTCAATGTTTAACCTCTGAGCCTTTTCTCTTAGCAGAGTTCTAAAAGAACCCTCATAAGGAACCCCTAATATGGAAAAAATGGCTTTTTGTACCAAGAACTTAATCCAGTGGTGTCTACTCCATGAATGTGGGGAAATGGAACTTCCTAACCTGGATTCCCACCTGGCCTTAATAGTGTCCACTGTGTATATAATAAGAGTATATTTGTACATTTATAGGATGTTTATCAGTGACAGAGCTTCTGGTCAGTCATGGGAGGAACTGCCTAGGGGAAGGGTAGAGAGGAAACACCCGTTCTCTCCTCTCTCTCTGTTTCTGGTACATAATTGGTCAGGCATCCACCAGTCACCAGGAACCCCACACAGAGTTCCTCCTGGTGGGAGCAGGGATCTAGGCCACGAGGAGAACAGAGCGAGTCATAGATACCCCCTGTTCCCGGACAGTTAAGCTCGAGCTTGGGAGCAGGGCGCTTGGAGGGCAGGGAGCGAGGAGAGACTGAGACCTACTGCTTAGAGCGTTAAGCTCATGCTGGGGAGCAGAACCCATAGCTGGCCTGGGGGTGCATTCGAGCCAGCGGTGTGTACTAAGCTGCCTGTGACTACAGTGAGGATAAACGTGGTAACCCCCTTTTCCTACAACTTTTTGTCCTTGACTGTCTTCAGTCTCACCGAGTTCACAGAGAACTTGCACCGGGAAGGGAACCCCTCCTCCTGGAGCTATAGTGGGTCATCTTATTAGCCTTCCTGAGAGAATATGGACTTGCATTTACTTTCAAAGCTTTGGAGAGTCTGGACATAAAACTATCCTGAATATTAACATATTGAGGTAAAGAAAAATATAAAGCCAGCTGAGGAAGACAATCAGAGAAGAGTTTATCACTCTCTTGGGTCCTGCTTCTCAGCTGGAAAGAGAGCTTCCATACTCGGGGAACCAGAATGCCTCCACATGCTAACAAGTCAGGCCCCAAGCTCCATGAGGATAAAAGTTCTTTTATTTGGGACCTTGCCCTATATATCTCTTTATCTGGCTATTAACTTGTATTCTTTGCAGAAAACTTTATTAAACTGGTAAATGCAAATGTTTTCCTGAGTTCTGTGAGCCACTCTACCAAATTAATCAAACCTAAGTGGTAGGTCATTGGAACCTCTAATCTGTAGTTGGTAGGTCATAAACACAGGTAACAGCCACGGGCTTACGACTGGTGTCTGGAGGCGGGGTGAAGGGCAGTCTTGTGGGTCAGAGCTCTTAACCTGGGAAATCTGGCGCTGTCTCCAGGCAGATAGAATCAGAAAAGAGTTTAGTTCTCCAACACCCTGCTGGTGTTCAAGAATTGCTTGGCATTATGTATGGGAAGATCCCCTCCCACATACATATGCCCATTGGAATTGGGTCTGGGAAGCCAAAAGGAGTTATACTACTATTACTTACTGCTGTGTATAAACTATTGTTGTTGTATATGAAAGAACACATAACAAAGATTTCCTCAGTAATTTGGGGTTTGAAGAGTATTTGAATCAAATACAAAAAAGAATTTTTTTAATTAAAAAATTATATTAACTACAAGAGCACAAGCATGTATTTTTTGTTTTGGGGCAACAAAAAAATTCTACTTGATCTTTTTCCAAATGAAAATGTACATGTGTTATAAAGGTTTTGCCCTGTTATAAGGAAATAATATATGAAAGGCTCAATTTTTAAAATTAGAGATGATTAAATGTGTTACAGTATGACTCACCAATAGGTCCTTTAAATATGGAATTCCAGTGTGATTAATTTTATAGAAGTTTGGTTTATACAGAGATATTATTACACAAAATGAAATAAACATGATAAACAAACCCATGTCTACCTTTCTGAATATTTTTGTATAAAATCATAAAGTTGATGTTGACAGAGTACTGTCAGTATTTAGTATTACAGTCACAATTATAAAACTATGCATATTTAGGGCAGAAAAATTGTAAGGTAATATTCTTCCTATCTTACAGTAAAAACATCAATGGAGAAGTTTATATTTATTTAATAATTTAATAATGTCTTCTATTTTAATCCTAACTTACCAATAACACACAAACCATGCTTTATAGGCAGTAAATGTCTTTTGAATTTACTCACACCTTTTTCAATTTTACTGGTTTTCAACAAATTCCCTCCTTAACTTAAATTGTAAGTTCTCCTCCACAGTATATGTGTATTGACTGTTAACATTTTATTTCTTATTTATCAGGCTCTTTGAGTCTATTTATCTTTGAAATTCACCTTTTTTTTTAGGTCTCTATGGAGAAACTTGTTAATTAAGTGGTTGGCACGCTGACATGTTTGCACCATAGCACATTTCAGTGGTGGCACAGCATGAACAAGGGCCCATAGAATAGAAGGGGACAGTAAGCGCTTAGCCATTTCCCTACAAGAGGATCCGGTAGGAACCACTAATGGTGCTAAACGTCATTAAGTTATGCAAATTAACGTTGGATTTCAAGAAGTAATCAAGATAGAATATCTATTTTGCTTTTGATATATCTTGCTCCTGGGATTCTAAAACAATACCTGAAAAGCTAACAATTGTGGAAAAAAGACAGTGACTTACTTGGATTGTGTTAAAAATAAAAGTCATGTCACATCAACCAAATAATCACATTCTTATAAATTTTTTACCTACTTGTACTACACTTTTCATTATCTCTCTCCATGTTTTATCCACAGTTGTAAATCGTCTGCTTTCCTCAGGCATTTGAGACATAATGTCTGGAGAACTGAAAATGGGCTCCAAATACAGCCATGTGGCTTGGACCTTGAGCCATTCATCCAGAATCTCCTGAAGCAGCAGGAGCTTGCCCTCCCATTCTCTGAGAAGCAAAACACAGTGGCTCTTATCAACCAACAGCAAATTAAGCAGTGCTTCAGATGACAAAACTCAAAAGCATAAGTAGACTGTCAATCTTGTATGCAATGTTGTTATTCCAATGCATCTACCTTTAGTCAAAAATAAATCATTAGATTTGTTCTATAAAGTCTGCTTTAAAAAATAGTAGCAACATTTATGTTAATACAGATATACATATTAAGATACACCTATCTACAAATGGGCTGGTTTCTGCATATATCATAACAATAAACCTTTTTGCAATCTACTTCTATGGCTAGAGGGCACAAATTGAGAAATAAGATTTTGGAGACAATAATGGTGTCCTCAACAAAGGGCACTCTGAACTTCTTAGGAAAGGTAGTTATATTCAGGACTCATTTCCCTAGGATTTTTCTTCTTTTTAAAATTTGGGCCCATAAAGTCTTTATTGCCAGAATAAAATATTTTAATTCATAAGATGTAACTGCATTTTTAAAAATCTATGTAATCTTAAATATATTAGTGTGCATTCAGGAGGAAGAAGCATTTTTGAATCTATAATAGGTTATTAATTCATTTCTAAATATGGAGAACAAAATGATGACTTGATTTCTTCAATAATAAATATTACAATTACACCATAAACGAAGAATTTTACAAGCACAGTTCTAAGGTTTCTGTATGTATTTGTCCCATCCACACAGCAACCCCACGAGGTAGGGTCCAGTATATATTATCTATTTTCCAATGAGGAGACTAAGGCACACAGGGGTAAATACCAGGTTCAAGTTCACCTAGTTAATAAATGATAGTGCCAGATCTGAATCCAGATAGCTGCAACTACTATGTTAAAGAGATCAACAGTCCTAAAGAAGAATGATTGATTAATGGCAACAGAACTTGGATAGCTTTATATTAAGATATCACCCAACATTTATAAGTGGTGATCTGTAACTTTAGATTGTTAAATCCAAGAAATGTAAATAGGAGTTCTAAAAGTCACCAGGAATTTTCAAATGCGTTTTCTAAATATCTTATTTTCAATGTTAACTATGAATTTGTTTAACCTCCTTTCACAAGAAGAAATGAGTATCTCTGCTTTCTTCTGGTGCTTGGATTCCCTCTTTCTTAATCTAGTCCCTGACACAGAAAATTTCCAACTAGCTAATGATTTCATGCATAGTCCTCAAAAATGGAATCCAGATATACCACTTTCAGAGTGGTTCAAAAATTACTCTTCATGAGTACATTGGAGCAAACTAGGCAAGAGGCAGAGAAACCAAACAGAGACTGAGAGAATCCAGAGTACATTCAAGTTTATGATAATATATCAATAACCAGAGGTGGATGCCATGAAGCAGTTAACTTCCCTAAATTTCCCTAAAAATTTTCCATAAAAATTCACATTGAAGATGGTAGTCTGATTTGGATTTACTCTTTTTTTAAGGTAAAATATAAACAGCTTAATACAAATTATAAAAATGGAAAAAATTGACGGGATAAGGGCTGTATCAGGTGCTGGTCTAGAATCAGAGTTTCACTCTTATGCACTTTTCTAGCCATCTTTCGTGCATATTGTGGAAATTATATCATACCTTTAGGGGTCATCTACAATAAAGTACTATATTTGCAAAATGACATTATCTTCAGTTTAATAATTTATATGTTCTACAAACTATGTTCATAGACATGAAATTATTTTTGAGAGTCAAATATATAAGATCAGATTGTAGGCAATAAAAATGAGCATCTCGAAGCTGATTCTCCACCACCTTTATTATAAATATAGATGATAGCAAAGGGATCAGTACTTTTCCAAAAGAAATAAAGCTTATCATTCCTTACAGTGAACTATTTAAAATATTAAATATGAAATGGAGAACCAAAATATCACTTTACCTCATTTGTTTTTCATAAGGCTTAATGAAAGGAGATCCTCGCATAGTTTGTGACTTAATAATGTGGTCATCCAACAACATTTGAATTTCATCAACTGATGACAAAATAAATGTCCCACTTTCTCTGTAAGAAAGAACGGCAAATTCCATTGCATCCCATTCATTAATCATCTTCTCCATGGCCTTTTCAAGAGAATATTCTTTGCTGGCTGCTTCACTAATACCTTCAAATCTATCTAAATATGGTTCCAGATTCATGTCTAAAAGAGAGAAGACAGTGGAGTCGTCTGCTGGCTGCAGCGGGTAACCAACAATGCTGGACATGGCCTCCCAGTGCCTGGTACGCAGGCCAGGATTACAGATCACCTGAATGAGAGGAATGTGCTCCTTGAAATCTTCTACCTTTGCTCTTACTTTTTTTGTCATTGCCAATGCATTTGGAGAATCATGGAAGATTTTCTCCAGCTTATATAGTCCTCTCCAATAATTTCCAACATCTGTTTCTACTTGGTCTGGATTCACCTTGTGATATGGTCCTTCGGTCCATCCTCTGTACTTGTTGTTAAAATCAAGAACAGTTTCATAGAGACGAAGGTAAGGGTTCAAACCATCTTGGATTTTTTTACGTTGAGGGTATATTGACGGTAGCCAACCAAATGCCTCCTCTTCGGCATTAAACTGTTCAATCTGGAAGGACAGGCATTAAATAAATTATTCTGCAAGTGAATGATATTCAAAATTAAGTTTTTAAAAGTATTTATATCAAAGGTTACCCAAAAACCTCACAAAGCCCTAAAGCTAAGTTAATTAGGACATGATCTAGAAAAATAAAGCCACAATCTGTTTCTCCTGTTTCTTTTTTATTACAGTTTCCAGATTGCATGCTAAAATGAATTTACAGAAATAGAGAAGTCTTTGCCCATCCAAATATATTGAGGATATAGCATCATTCATTCATTAATAGAATTCAGATTAACAGGACTGTGTTATACACTATGGAAAATAGAAAAAAAGTGTTATATTGCAAAGTACCAACTCCAAGGTGTTAGTCATCTGGCTTGGGAGGCAAGACACATATATGTAGAAAGTTAAATAGACATTGTTCAATAATAATAGAAGGTAATAAAAGAAATGTCTTAGAGCAGTAGCTGTTTAAGATAGAAGGATTAGTATACACTAAAAAGACTATCACTCAGAAACAAGGGACCTCACTGAAATAGTGCAGTCACAGACGCTTCTATGGAACAAATGCAACCAGAGCTGGGTCTTTAAGATATGTAGAATAGGAAGAGGCAAAGAAAACATTAATTTCCTCTTTTTTTAGTAGTGAAATATGTGAGGATGTGGGTGGTCTAGAGGAGAAAGCTACAGAATTGAAAAGTGTGAGCTTGGTTTATAAAGTCTGCAGGTTACCTAAAATTTTAGTGGCCTCAGTCTTAAAAAACCTTCACTTTCTTCTTTCTCAAAATATGTTTACATATTTCTGACCATTATAAGCTATTTAATTATTTCAGCTATTAACATCTTTCAATGTAAGAAAATGGTAGAGCATCATAATATGGTCTGTTTTCATATTTCCCCTTTTTATAAAAAAATGCAATTAAAATTTTCAAACAGCTTATGTGTCAAAGGGTATGCTTTTCCCACTTCAGCTTCTTCTAATGAGAAAGCTGATTTGTGAAATAGCAATAATGGGAACAAAGGGGCTTGAGGGACATGATAATGGGTCTGATTTAAAAACACATCCACCAAATCTAAGCTGGGTTCTATGAAGATGGGAAAACTAAATAGTAACCAGGTGCTCTCACATGATATAAATGATTAAATGACCCAAAATAAAAATGGAGAAGCAAATGGAGATACAACTCTATCTTTCAAATAAAAGGCGAAGGTCACTGAAATGTTATTACTAGTACTAAAAAAAAAACGGCAATGTTGCTCCTCCTTGAAGCAGGTCTGTAAAATCTCTTTGTCCCATTTATATTATTTTCTCATTAAATTTAGTTAAACTGTTTTATTTGAGTCTATTTCTTAAAGGTGAATGCAAACTCAATGCTCTTTCTTCATCATCTTAATAATTCATCATAACTGATCCGCTGAAGAATTTTAAAATTATACCTTGTCTGCTGCTAAATCCAACTTTCCATTCAGTGTTTGAGCCTTTTTCAGGTATCTCTGTATATCCTCAAGATCTCCAAATGAGTAAAATTCTTCTGATTGTTTAGCATAACTCTCCAATTCCTCCACAAACCGTTCACACCGTAACTAATAAAAACAATATTTGTTGTTACTATTTTTAAAAGTTAAAACTCCTAGGCATCAAGAGAAAATTTAAATATTTGTAAGGATTATTAGAATTATTATATTTGTCACTGGCAAACTATGAAGAAAAGAATGATCTGGAAGATGACTGGGATCTAGCATAAGCAGAATTTTTAAGAGTTGGGATTTAAAATTAGTGGGTCAAGATTCTTGTAATTTACCAATTAGATAAAGTTTACCCTTATAATATCAATGTAAAAAGTTCTAATTGATAAAATGAATTAGAATGTTGTTAAACCATGATATTCTTAAGTATGCTAAAGAATTTATGCTAACAAATGATTTATAAGGACTTGAAAAATATCATAATAATCAAGTATAGGATTAAAAGGGAACTAAATTTTTAAGGGCTATAAAGGCATCTGCAACATTTGAATGAACGGCTGGGAAAAACCACTTCTTCAATTGTGTTCTAATATTCAGATAGCTCTTCCATTAGTAATGCTGACACAAAGTATTCCAAGATTATTTTCTTGTCCCAGGGGCTTTCTTCACAAGAAATGTGCAAGGTAAGTAAACCCAGATTTAAATGCTTAAAAACTATAGCCTACCGATATAAAACAGGCATGTCTCTGTTTTGTTTTGTTTTTTAATGAGAATGGCTTATAGCAAAATTGGCATTGGTAAGACATCACAAATTAAATGGCTCAAGAAAAAAAATCTTCATGAAATATTCAAAAGTCAAATCTAGGTTATTCAAAAATAGATTTTATATTTTATGGATTATCTAGGTTGATGCCTGTGCTCTTTTCTCTAGTTCATGGCAAATTTATTGCTCTGGCCCCATGGAGGAAGAAAAATGAAAGGAAAATTTGTCAACATTATGTGTAGTCTGTAGAATAATATACTTTATGATAAGTATAGATAATTCTGAGGCACTCAGCAATTTTCTAAGTGTCTATTATGTTGTAATTTAAGCATCTAATATTTACTGTTCATGATGTTCCTATAGGTTTGAGCAAATTCTAAAATGGCCTAAATTTAAAACAGAAGAATAGACTATAGTTTAAAATGAATAATTTTTTAGACTCAAACACAGAGAAGAGACTGGTGGTTACCATAAGGGAAGGGTTGGAGTGGGTGGGTAAAATAGGTGAAGGGGATAAAGTGGCACAAAATCTCAATTATAATATAGTTATGGACATAAAAGTATGGCATAGAGAATAGAATCAATAATACTATAATATCTTTCTATGTTGACAGTAACTACACTTATTGGGGTGGGCACTTAATAGTGTAGATAACTGTCGAATCATAACGTTATATACTTAAACCAATTTAATACTGTATCTCAACTATATATCAATAAAAATAAATAATAAAATGAAGGATTTTTTTTGAGAGGGCATCTCTCATATTTATTGATCAAATGGTTGTTAACAACAATAAAATTCTGTATAGGGGAGTCAATGCTCAATGCACAATCATTAATCCACCCCCAGCCTAATTCTCGTCAGTCTCCAATCTTCTGAAGCATAACGAACAAGTTCTTACATGGTGAACGAATTCTTACATAGTGAATAAGTTCTTACATGGTGAACAGTACAAGGGCATTCATCACAGAAACTTTCGGTTTTGATCACGCATTATGAACTATAAACAATCAGGTCAAATATGAATATTCGTTTGATTTTTATACTTGATTTATATGTGGATCCCACATTTCTCCCTTTATTATTATTATTATTTTTATTTTTAATAAAATGCTGAAGTGGTAGGTAGATGCAAGATAAAGTTAGAAAACATAGTTTAGTGCTGTAAGAGAGCAATTGTAGATGATCAGGTGTGTGCCTGTAGACTATGTGCTAATCCGAGCTAGACAAGGGCAATAAAACATCCACGGATGCAGAAGATTTCTCTCAAAACAGGGGGCAGGTGAGGTTCTAAGCTTCACCACTGTTGTTCCCCGATTTCTCACCTAATGGCCCCCCTGCGACTGTGCCTGTCTTAGGTTGTTCCTCCCTTGAGGAATCTTACCTGTCTCTGGCTAACCAGTCATCTTCCGGGACCATACAGGGAAATATAAAGTTGGTAAGTGAGAGAGAAGCCATATTGTTTGAAAAGGTTAGCTTTTTACTTCTTTGCAGATTTATGCCCTGTGGCTTCTATGCCCAGCATTTGTCTTGAGGTATCTTTACCACTTGGAGGAATTATGATACTCAGTAAATTCGATATGAGGCACGAATTCTATTTAAGGGTTGTAATTAGGAAGGAAGAAGAAAAGCTATAGAGGTAGCATATGGAAGAAAACATGGGAGGATTGATTATTTCTTTGACATATCTAATGAAGGATTTTTTTAAGTCTATGAATTATTCTCCAAACAATATATTCTGCTAATTAACTGTATTTGCTGTAAATGTGGTGGAAAGACACTAGGCTTGCTACCAAAGGACATCTCTTCTGGCTGACCTGAACAAGTCTTTTCACTTCAGGAACCTTCGTTTCTTCATCTGTGAAGTGAGACTGAAAATACTAAGTCATTTGTTTGGACAAGAGCTATGGAGTGCTCATGTGATGTGCACCTGGGTGTCAGGCGCTGTGCTAGCCTGCGGGATAAACATGAGAAAAGGTAAAAATGAAAAAGCCCTCTTATTAAGGAGCTGACTGTGTAATGGGGAGATAGACTTGAAAAATGATAATAGAATGATGAGGTCATCAGTTCAGTGGGGATGTGTTAAAAGTCTTACAGGAGCCGAGGAGAAGCTGCGCAGAGTCTGACTGAGAGGTATTATCGGAAAGTCAGAGGTATAGGCTAGACAGACAAACACGTGTGGGGCAGGGGTGCAAGAGATGAAAGGTGTCAGAGAGCAGGGACCTGAAAGTTGCTCAGGGTGGCTGAAAAGTCAAGAACAATGAGTGGGAAGAGACAGATGAGGCTGGACAGATAGGGCGAAACCACAAACCATCTTACATGTAGGAAGACAACAACAAAGAGTTAGAGTCATTGGACATGAGGGAGATGACTCTGGACACAGTGCTTCAGCAAGTTTCAGCGATTACCAGGTGTGAAGGCAAACTTCACCAAGGGAGCTTTGCTGTTAAATGATAAAAATAAAATAACTCAAAAGAGTATGCTAAACTGTGTGAGATAAACACTATTTTTGTTAATGGTCATTTGTGGTCAATACATTAAAATTTTTTCTCCCTTGAAAAATCAAGAAGTGACACCATGCCAATCCAATATGTGTACTATTGTCTAAGATTTACAGTATGGAGAAACTAAAGTATATGACCTGTGAAATAGAGTTGACAATGCTACATAAGAAGTTAGAACATAACCATTTCCACAAAACGAAAACAATTTAAAATGTCTATGCTGCCAACCTTAAGACCTTCTTGATATTGTTCTGTTTTCTCTTTAATGATTTTCCTGTGTTCTTCAAAAATTTCTTCCATTCTTCCATACCACTGAAAAACATTATTATTTAGCCTGATGTGTGCTGGAGAAAAGCTGGCACACTCAATGAGGAAGGCCAAGCAGTTTTTAGAATCCACCAATCTCTGTTTCAGTTCAATCATATCAGTTGTCTCTACTTTCTGAATATAAGCCTGAGGGAAAACAAAAATTACAGATGACATTGTATTGAACAGCTCAAGTCAAGAAACAGCCTGTGGAAATGCATTGCATAAACATGTACAGACTTGTTAGATGTATAGACGTTTGGTTCATGATAAGGGCTACAGGACCGTTCACTTCTCATCAATCCCAAACACCTCTACTAAATTAGCAGGGGGTAAAAATAGAAAATATTAAACAACACACAAAGAGCACAGAGAAGAATGCTATAGGTTTCTGGAAGATACAAAGCAGTTGCTACATTAGCAATATAGTTTACTATTTCAGAGTAGCATTTATGGGCACCTGCTCTGTACCTGACACGGTGCCATGTGCTGGCAATTCAGTGTGACAACTAACACACTTGGGTTTTGTCCTCAGAGAATTTAGAATCTAGTTGGGGGAAATAATTTTTAGTGAAATAAACACCATAACAAATGTAAAATTGCAAACTTGCAACAGACGCCAGTGTTATAACACTTTCCTTTGTTACAAACCTAAAAAATAACTACAGGCAAATTTAACAAAAAATGTGATAAATCTCTGGTAGGAAAACTGTAATACTATATTGAAGGACATTTCTAAAATTCTGAATAAATATGGAAACATATATTAAGATATAATATTATAAGGATGTAGATACTCCTCCAGTCTATAAAACCAATATCATTTAAATCAAAATTGCAATAGCATTTAAAAATACTAAATTTGATATAAATCTAAAAGTCTCTGAAATAGTAAATACTCAAGAGTAGCAAAGATAATAATGAAAAAGAAAGATGATAGATATCAGCCTTGCCAAATATCAAAATGTAATATGTAGATGCAGTAATTTAAACAGTTCTTGTTCTATCCCAGGAATAGATGATGGAGCAGAATAAAGAGTTGAAAATTAGATCCAAGTACATATGGGAATGTAATGTTCAAAGGGTGCATTTTAAGTAGGGTGAAATAATAAATCATTTAATGAATAATATTGAATTGGCTTTTGATTTTGGAAAAAGTTATATCCTAGTTACTTAGTAGGAGAAATACAGAGAGGGTTTATTGATTGTTAAGTGAATAAAGTAATTTTCAAGAGAATAATGATTCTGTTTTTGCAAAAACAAATCTGTGTGTGTGTGTGTGTGTCTGTGTGTCTGTGTGTGTGTGTGTCTGTGTGTGTGTGTGTGTGAGAGAGAGACAGAGAAAGAGAGAGAGAGAGAGAAACTGGGAAAGAAAAAAAAAATACCTTATACCCACACAACTATAAAGAGTTTATAAACCATACCTTCATTTCCATTAGTTCTGCTGTATTTGGAGGTGTGCTAAGAGCTTTTTCAGCTATCTTCTGAAATTCCTCACATAATCTGTAACACCAGCAAAATCAACCTTATATAATTAAATTTCATTCCAAAATATATATATTCCCATATATTATTTAAATGTTCTATTACATGAAAAAATTAAGATCTTAACTATATGACATCTAGTGAATTAAAAGCAAATTCTGTCCATTTACTTATTATTTAATACACATTTAATTATCATGTATTAAATTCCCACCTACAATATTAAGTGACAGAGATACAGAAATGGATAAGATGCAATAATGATACTCAAGCACTTCACAATCCAGTATGGAAGATAAGACCATAAACAATAATTTCTAACCTAGAATTTTAAGGGCTTCACCAGAGATTTAGTTGAGACAGCATCAAAAAGGTGGTACAAGAGCAAGGAGTGATTAACTCTACTTGGAGGGAATGGTTCAAATGGGCTGGGGTGCTCAGAAACTTCTGATAATATGCAAATATTTCCTAATTTGGATTGTGGTCAAAATGATGAACTTACTGTGAGGTTAAAAAAAAAAAAAGACAGAGTAGTGGGAACCAAAGAAGTCCCGACAAGACTGGCCGTGAGGTGAAGAAGGGAATAGCATGGTGACGGTGCTAGGCTGAATTACAGGAAATGAACACTGTGAACGCTTGTAAATTTCACAGGCAGAACCATCAGTGAAGGAGAGGTTTAAAATGAGATAGGGGATGATCAGTAGAGAGAACTTTGACGGGTGTAACAGACTTTGGCTTTCTGAGAATGTGGGGACACAGGGATGAAGGGATTCATGAAGAGATGAGTTAAAACATGTAGGGATAAGAGGTCAAGGGCATTCTATCTACTGTTTCCTGTAATAGTCCTGAAATGTTCCTTGTACATCCAGTGAGTCTGGTGAGGGACATAATCAGGAGAAAAGAGGAAGAAGTAGAACTGGCATGAGCTCAGAGGACAGGGAAAATAGCTATGAAATTAAAATAAATATTTAATTCAGCATGACAAGCTACAAGTAAAAGACATTTTCACTACTCTTCCAATACTTTTACAGGAAAATATGCTTTCAGTTGAACATATGATTGTGGTGCCTAGAAAAGCTACACACGTCCTATCCTTTTCCACACAGTGACTTCCTCTTTGGCCTTACCCCTCACCTGTCTTCCCTCATAGTGTCTGTGAAAGCATCACAAACCATTCCTAGTTCTTGGAAACACCATGCCATTTTCATATCTCACACCTTTCTACATATTATCTTCTGTACCTGGAATTCTTTCACCCACATTGTTCACCTGGCAGACTCCTACCCAGCCTTCAAAATAAATTCACACATCACTTCCTCCTTGCAGCCTTCTCTGATTTTCCCCTCTGCCCCAACCTCCACCCTGAAAGAAAATTAATCATTTCCTTCTCTCTTCTCCTTCTGTGGCTCAGTACAGAACTTATTCTGCCCTACTGTAATTTACTGGTTTATCTGTCCAGTTCCTCTTTAACTTCATAATTTCCTTCAATGGTGTGAATCATACTGAGAGTCCTAGTACCTAGTTCTGAGCCTAACACATGCTGGTAAATAAAGCTTCCTTCAGGCTTCTATACAGTCTGAAGAAATACTCTTTTTACTGATATGTTTTTTTCCTCTGATGCCATAACTATTTTAAAAATCGTGATTATTTGGGCTTTTTTCTCATGTAACTGATACCAGAAAAGAGGTTCCCAGAGTAACACTAACCCCAGTTGTTGGAAGACTAGTTACATTTCTTGTCTTAAATAAACCGGTATTCTGCTTTACACATTAGCATTCTAGGAATTTACTTAACATGGGTCAGTTTTCCTAAAAATCTCCAAGTTAGTCAACAAATGAGCTTTTAGTTAAGATAATAAGATAACAAACTTGAAGAGTAATTACAGTCGATGAAGTTCCAAACTGGAGGGACCGATGTATGAGGGACACATGATAACTGCGTAAATCTCCCTTAAAAATCCACTTGGTGTATTGATTATACAAATAAAAAAATCTGAAGTTAGACTTGTGCAAACAAAATGGGAACACATTTTAATACCACCTTAATTCAGACAATTGGGAAGGCACAATTGCGGTGAAAAAAATAATACCAATTATCAGAAAATAACACTTGAAACCAATAGAAATAAATGTGACATTATCTTTTTTGGGCCGTTTATGACACTGCTCTAATCCATTACTTTAGATGAATGATAGTTGATTCTGTTTAACAGCCCTCCTCCCATGGGAAAATATAATAATCAACAGCACATAAATACCTTGTATTTACTTCCTGATGATTGCTGAACATTTTAGCTATAAATTTTCCACAGATAATGTCTGCTCGCTTCACCAGAGCTCTGATTAATTCTTCACAGTGCATTTCAAACATTCCTAAACGAACGGTCTGCAGTGTTAAGTATTAAAAGTTTAATAAACATGAATAGGAAGAAAATAACAATTTTGCCTTTCTCATAATATTGATTTTTTGTGTGTATGTGATCTAATGAGTTGAGTTTTTTGTTTTGTTTTATCGTGATGCAGGAAGGGTTTTCTAAATACTCATTTATATTTTACAACTATCTTTTGGGCAAATATCCCTGAGGAGTTTATTATCTCAAAAACCAATTCTATTTTAGGATAATATAGATATAAAAACTAGAGAATTGAGCTCTTAAATAGGTAGTTGGAATTTAAATGTTATCTCTGCTCTACACAAAAAAGTAATGCATGCTTATGGTAGAAATTTTGGGAAATATAAAAATAAGACAAAAGAAGAACATTTTAAATACCAGTCTGCTACTAAACAGAAATAAGTTTTGTGATACTAGACTCTCAGCTCTATGAACGTAAGAACTGTGTCTATTTGGCCACCTGCATATATCCAGATCTTACCACAATGCTTTGCAAATGGAAAGGCTCAGTAAATATTTTTCCTGCTGATAGTAATGGCCTAATTCTTTCACTGTATGAACTAAAAATACATCCTAGTAAAACTGGAAAAAGATCATTAGGACAGAGACTAGTTATATAAAATGGGTCATTTACCTTTCTAGATGTGTACTGTATATCCTCTATTAGTTTTTGGTATTTGTGAATTTCTTCTATTATTTTCTCATAACTATGATTTTCTGCAAGAAAAGCATCAGCATCTTGCTCAGCTTTTCTGTTAATCAAGAAATCATACTTGTCATAGAGTCTGAGGTGTTCCTTCGGTGCCATGCTCTCTCTCAGTATCACTTCCTTAACCTTTTCTTTGTGAGCTTCAACAATTTCATCCAGAATTATAGGCTTCAAGGTTGTTGGTTTACACTTACTTTCCTAAACAAAGGGAAAAAAACAATATTAGTCTTTAAAATACCTTAAATTAATATAACTAGATCACTTAAACTTCATAAAAATGCCAATCTTACCATATTATTTCTTCATTCACAAATTCTTTTTGATTTTCTAATCTCTATAGAAAGAGAGATTTAGTCTAATCACAGCAGTATTTTAAATATCTAGGTTTCATATAATTTTTTTTCTTTAAGACTACTTAGTTGTGTTTTGTTTTTCTATATGGATGAAACAACTGTTACTTGAAGATATAAACAAAATAAGAAAATATAAAAACAGCAGAATCTACATCTTATTTGTACAGCTGTATATATAGCTCTATAAGGCAGTGCTTGCACTGTACATTATTTGTATTTAGAACCAGCTCAGTGTCATATCATCACACTCTTTGATCACAGTATTTTTTTACCTTGAGGAGTAATCTATCTAGAAAAAATAATTTTTACTCATTCATTGACCTTTGATCTTTGATTCTGTAAACAGCAACTAGACCACACTGAAATTCTTAGTTGTAAAATTTGCATTCTGCTATCAGCATTAGAATAATGGAGCACACAACAATTTTAAATAAGCAAGCAAATCTCAACAGTTTGTCTCCTTTCTTCAAGTAAGAGGGCAAGTAAATGTGCTTACATGGTTTGTTATCTTGAACCAAGTTACACTTAAAAATATGTATGACCTTCTTGTTCAGAATAATGGATTTTTAACTATAACAAACAAAAACCACTGTCTGTACAGAATACTCTACAGTGTTGAGATTGACAATATGAAAGGATTTCTTAGAGAATCGATTTGTTGAGGTATCCAGGGTTCATTTGCCTGCCGTGCCCCGTTATGGTCATTTCAGGAAATCAAATTGTTTAGAACTAGATGCTTCAGGACATTGGTGAATTCCATAACCACCAGCACGACCACCACCAATACCACCTCACTCTTGGGCTCAGTAGGTGTTGAGTGTTATCTTTTCTGAAAACGAATTTTGGGATAGAGCAATCTAAACTATTTACTGTATGCAGTGTGAGATGATTGGATCTAATGTGAAGCTCATTAATATTATGGACTGTTTTCTTAAATTAACAGCCTAATTTCTAAAGCATATAGACCTTTTAAAACAGAACTGGGTACATAATTCAGAACTGTATTATAAAGTACACTTTTAATATGAACTCAAATCAGTTCCTATCAAAAGTTAAGAGAAATGATATTTTTGTATTAGACAGCTCCAGTGTTTGAAAGCATGTCAAACTAGATCATGAGATAGTGGTATGCTTGGACTCAAAGGACCTTAGCCCCTTTCAGGGTTGCCTTCTAAGGGAGAAAAAGTGTATTTTAATTTCACTTTCAGCTTCTATCAAAGACTGTGAAAAGAAACAGCTATAAGAATTCCTTTCTACAGTTGCTGTCAAAGATTCCTGAGACCATGTTCAATTATCTTATTCAAAGTACCTTCTTCTATAGGACTTGTTTCCAAACTTGACTGATTGCCAGTACCATCTAGGGATATTTTGCCAGTACCTATTTCTAAATTCCATCTGTCACTGTGAATCGGCACCTCTAGGGACAAAGTGGTAATGGTGGGTATCCTTAGATTTATGTTTTAAAAATATCCCCACGTGATGCTGACACATAACATTTCAGAACCATTACCCCATGTGTAATGCCTCATGTAAGACCTCTCTCTCAAAATTTGATATTAGGAAAAATACCTGAGCAATCTAATTCAACTATTTAATCCTAGTTAAAACTTGTCATATTCTCCTCTTCACTTTAGAAACTGGGGAGCTTAGAGCCATATTTCATAACCATAAAATCTTGGCAACTGCATTCATTTAAATGATTATAATAATTTTCTCCACTTTCAGCTTTGTCTAGTAACTCTTATTAGCTTGCTATATTTGTCTGTTTCAAAGGCTACCTCAAATTACTCTTGAAAAAAAGGGTAAGGTATGAATAGAAAATGATATAATAGATGAATTGGAATTAAAAAGTAAACAGTGTATTTCTTGAGAGACTTCTACTTATGGCAACATGGCAACAGATATCCTGAAAACAGCTACTCAGTTCAAAACACAAAAATACGCTGGAAAAATATGTTAAATATAATTTTTATAATGCACATCTAAGGAAGAAAAATAATAGGCAAGTCTAAGGAGCCAAACATAAGAGGACGCATGATTGGAGAGGCAATTGCGTGCAGAAGTGAGCAGCTGCTCTGGAGATGGTGCTGATCCCAGGTGGTCCAAACTTTGCTTAATGAGTCTCTTAATGAGCTAGGTGGGCACACATGTGGCGGGGTGGGAGCATGGGTGGGTGTATGGCTGTCAGGAAACAAAGCCTCAAGCCTGAGCAAGGTGGGAAGTCACAGCTGATAGACCCACATAAAACCAAGAACACAGAAAGGGTTCTGGGGACATAAACTTCAGAAATGCTAACAGGTGTGACAGAACTTTAGAATGATGAAGCAAAAGTAAGGAAAAATGTGCTGTTTGGGCTTTTTTTGGTAGAGAAGAAAAAAAGATTGTCATCTTAAGAATCTGTAACCCCAAGTTTGTTCTTATCCGAATTTGAGTAAGCATCCACACTGCTAGTGTTGTCTACAGAATCCTTAGACAAGAATTTTGTTACAAAATTAGTCCTTGGTCTGCACAGGCCTCCTGAGCACCTGTCCAGAGGATATGCAAATTCCAGGTGAACCAATTCAAACCAAGGCCTCAAAGATTTCCCTAAATAAAATTCTGTCACACACAAAAACGCACAGAAATAAAACACCAGGAGCAGGTGTCAGATCAATAAACAGAGAAGTAAACCAGTAACGATTATATGACCAAGTACAAGAGTCTATCAAAAATGATTAGACCTGATCTGTGATTTGCAAGCTCAGAGACACTACTATTTATGGAAAAAGGGGTATGAGGAGGTAATCAACAGGAGGACAGCTTTACAGAGCTGAAAAAATATAGCGGAAGTTGCAGCAGGGTCTACAGGAGCACCCATTGATGGCTTCAAGCCTGCTCACAATTTTAATTCTTTCCCCTCAAAGTTTTCAGCTGAGTCCAATGGAAGACTGGACTAAGAAACCAGGCACAAGAGAAGCTAATGGAAAAACAGTATTTTTTTTAAATCAAACTTCCTTATAAGCAAATCTTATTAGGCCATTTATATTCATAAAGCAGAGGATATATATCTACATCTTAGAAGTTATTTGATGTGAATATCATCATGCAATTCGAGCCATCAAGATATCCTTGTTACTTACCCACTTGGAATACAATTTTGTCTCAACTCTTGGCACAAAACTGATGGCCTTAATCATCATATCATAAACATTTAGAAGGATGTCGATATAGTCATTGAACTCAGGTTCAAACTTAATAGTGCCATTATCAAGAATCAGCCTCATAATGAAACCTGGATGTTCAAAAGCTTTTACAGAATCCTGCAAAAGAAATTATATATATATATATATATACACACACACACACATACACATACATCCATACACATTTGAATCGTGATAGACTCTGGAGTGCACTGGTTCCAATTAGAATACATGGAAACTCATCCTTCCTCTTATGGCCTGGACAGTTAAGCCAAAGAGGAGCTCTACTAAAAAGAGCAAGAGCAATTCCCAGCTAGACTCGTTAGTATATATTATCCATTGGGCCAACTATGGGTCAAAGTTCCAGAAAAAGGTGGATGCACATAGCAGTGGGACTCTAGAATCATGCAATAAAGAGCTCAAGAGAAGCGCATTTCAGTTTCTCAGGCCTTGCTCATACTGTAATAGACCTTCTTCCAGGAGAAAAGAGTTGCTTATGGAAATATTCCCCAGCCATCATGACCCAGATTTCCCAATCATAGGACTTTCCAGTTATGTCTACTAATCCTTAATAATGTGATGATACTCATATATTCTGAGTATGCAGGTTGACACTTTTTTAAACAGGTAAGTGCAATAGGTCTAAAGATATGCTTTCTGCCCTCCCACTGGCAAAGGTACTTTATAATTTTCTTCTCAGAAAGAATCAAAAACAAATAAAGTAGCCAATGAATATTGGGGTGACTGAGCCATACTTACTGGGGGCTGCACAATTAAGTCCGTGAAATCTTGCATGGAGACCAGAGCAAGCTCCTGCAGCTGCGAGGTCATAAGTGTAGCGGCACAGTTGAAAAAAGATTCCAGCTTGGTGCTGCTGTCACCAGTTGGCAATTGCTTTTTTTTATTACCTTGGTAATAAATATTCTGCACTTCTGGGAACCACCTTGAAAGAACAAAAGACTTTTAAAAGTTAATACTTGCAGTGAATTACTCCTTTTACATGAAGCTTTACCAGTAACTTCTGGGCATCCAAAGGTCTCCATAGAGAGGTATATTGCAAAGTGGTATTATCCACTCTCTGAAATGTAAATGCCAGCATATTTAACTTCTCCTGGGAAAAGAAATTAAACATAGCCAATAGAAAATGACTCGATGTGATACTGTGAGACAAACATAAATTTAACTCCTGGAACTATGATTCCTGTCCTTTCTAAATAAATATGATAACTAATTTTATTGGATATTACAAGATACTCCTGTTGCTGAAATGTTCTTCTGGGAATGAATTTGTTAGTTCAAAGCTAAAATGTAAATAACTGATTAAACCAAGAGAGGCCTTATGTGGTTCAACCCACTTGGTATTTTATGGCATTCTATCTGCTTCATAATAACTTGAAAATAGGATGCAAATCAATAAAATCAAGTATATTATTTCCTTATTCCCCTTAATGTGAAATCCTGAAAGACTGATTTGAAACAGTTTCAAGTGTGGATGTATCCTTGTAATAAAAGGGTAACAGTGAAATTCACATATAGATACATCATGATGATAACAAGTGAAGTTTTTAGTTGTAAAAACCACTGTCCAACACCATAAAATTAAGGAATATTGGTACCTCTTTCATAAGAGATAATGAGTTAAAATAGAGAGCCAGTATAATTTTAGGAGTTGCCTGAATGCTCCAAGAGAGATCTAAGTTTTAAATATGTGTATTCACCCCTTTAACAAATATGTGCTTAGTGTCTACTGTGTGCTCGGAGAAGTGCCATGGGAGATATGCAAAAACACAACGTCATCCCTCCTCTCAGTAAAGCAATGTGTCATAGCAGAAAAACAACTCGGAAGCTAAAGGATAGAGACATAATTTTCTATGTAAGTAATGGAGACAGGTTTTACAGTGAAGACTGCAATTTCACTGAACACTGGGTAGAAATGAAATGAGGATGATGATGAGAAAAGGATCTGAAGTAGAAGTAGGATAATAAAAATAGGTGAGGTGGGTGGGGCTAATATAGTTGGTCATTCTACTGTCTATAACAGATAACAGACAAGGAAATAGGAAGAATTAAGTGGGGAAACCCATGAGGACTTTTGTAGAACTTGGGAGCTAAACACATGAACTTGGGACACCCTCAGGCTCTAAAAAGAAGCCACGGCAGAACTTTCTGCAATAATTTGTCACCATTAAAACAACAGGTAAAGAGGACAGGTAGCAAATACAAAGTAGGGAAGGGAAGTGCTAGATTAAAAAAGGCTATTGAAAACTTCTAGTAGTTCAGGGAAGAGATGGAATACAATTAGGGCTATAGGACAAGAAAAAGAATAAAATACATTAAAAAAATTATTCATTCAGTCATTGTCTCAAACATACTTATAAGGCTCCCTACTGTGCACAAAACATTTGGGGTACAAAATAGTACTTAGTCCTCAAAGTGCCCATATGCTAGTGGAGGGGAAAAAAGGCACAAAAATAAATATTTTAAAAGAAGGAATCAAAAGAGAATAAAGTGTTACAGGCATTCAAAAGGAAGAGATCCCTTTTGATGAGGTAACAATAAAGATTTCATGGAAGAAGCATAATTTGGGCTGGGTACTGAAGGATAGAAGAGAGGCTTCTCCAGTAATGAGCTACATCAAGTACTGTAAATACTGTGAACCATAATATTTTGCTGATGGAATTTAAGTGGTTCTTATTCTGTTTTAATCTCCTTAACCTCTGATTCAAAATGATACAACTATGTATGCAAAGACAATGACAATAAAAATCACAGACTGTAAGAGGAAAGCAACTGAATGACTTTCAAATTTTCACTGAATTTCTATCTCACAGATGAGAATAAGGAGTAGCTATTTTAAAACCAATAATTATTTAAAAAGGAGAACAAAAGGCCTTCAGATTTACCCATTGGGTAGATACTTAGCACTTGTAGGGTATGGTTATAGTCTTAGAAGTTACATTCTGTTTAATTTAACATGGCCATTTCTATAGGCATGACCCAAGGTGAAAGTCTTTTCGAAACTAAAAATGGAAGATAGGTTAGATCTGGGTTGCCGAGGACCTTAAAAGGCAGGTAAGGAATGTGGACTTATTTTGTCAGTAAAACAAAGGCACTGAACTAGGTAATATTTTCAGATTCCTCTGGCCTACATGGGAGGTTAAAAGGGCCTGCCCTGGGTAGTCATAATGACAATTAAAACATGAAAGATGTTTCTGAGAGAGAAGCAAGAATAGTTGCTGTCCTAAGTCTCAATAAATACAAAAGGACTGAAATCATACAAAGTTAGAAATCAGTAACAGAAGGACACTCAAAAAATTCACAAATGTCGAAATTAAACAGCAGAGTCCTAAACATCCAGTGAATCAAAAAACAAATCACAAGGGAAATTAGAAAACAATCTGAGATAAATAAAAATGAAAACACCATATTCTAAAACTCATAGCATGTAAAAAAGTAGAAATCAAAGGGAAATCTATAGCTGTAAATACCTATGTTAAAAAAATTTTTAAATATCTTAATTAAATAACTTAAACTTCCACTAGAAATCAGAAGAAAAGCAGACTAAACTGAAAACAAGGCAAAGGGGAGAAATAAAAATTTGAGTGGAAATAAGCAAAATAGAGAATAGAAAAACAAGAGAGAAAATCAACAAAACCAAAAGCTGGTTTTTGAAAAGATCAGCAAAATTGACAAACCTATATCTAAGACTCATATTAGGAATGAAAAAGGGAATATTAATATTTACTTTACAGAAAAAAAAGATTACAAGGAAGTTCAATTAACAATTGTATGTCAACAAATTATCTAGCAAAGTCTTAGAAGCTCAAACCACCAAAACTGACTAGAGAATAGAGAACATGAATAGACATATAACAAGAAACTGAGTTAATAGCAAATAAATAAATAAACAAAAAATAAAAAGTCCAGAATCAAGGACTAGATGGCTTCACCAGCAAGTTCTACAAAACATTTAAAAGATTAACACCAATCCTTCACCAACTCTTCCAAAAAGAAAAAGAACAAGGAAAACATTCTAACTCATTCCATAAGGCCAGTATTATAATACCAAAACCATGCAATGATATCAGAAGAAAACTATAATAGCCCTTATAAATGTAAACACAAATATCATCAACAAAAGAATAGCAAACTGAATCTAACAGCATATAAAAATAATTACATTCTGTGGACAAGTAGGAATTATCTCAGGAATGCAGGGTTGAGTCAATATATTAAAATTGATGTAATATATTAATAAAGGAGAAAAACCCATTATCATCCCAAGAGATGCAGAAAAAGCATTTGGCAAAAATCTACAGTATTTCATGATAAAAATAATCAAGAAACTAAGAATGAAAGGGGGGTCAGAAAAACATATTTCTGGAGGCAAGGCTGAGTAGAAGTACAGGATGAGGACTAAGAAGAATTTGAGTTTGGGGTAGATGTCATAATGAAGCATTTGCTAATTGTCTGCCGTGGTGAGCTGATACTCTGCCTGTTCAGCCCACAATAAACACATTCTGGCTCATTATTTAAAATACGGTCAGAGGGTTCTTCTTCTAGAATCAGTTAGGATACATCAAGTGGTACAGCTAATCAATCTACTTCTCTCAGCAAAATTATTCAGTCAGGATTGTACTCTACTCTGTACTTTGACACCCAATTTACTAAAATTTACAATAGTAATGTATTTCTGGGTTATAACCCTGCAGCCATAGATCAAGAAATTTTATTTTTATTCTGTCCTTAGAAGATTTTCTTAATTAATTATGGGGTTTTATGATGCAATTAACTATGTGGTTTCATTCTGTATTCCTTCTCTATTTGTTTATACTAACTAAATAATAAAACTAAATAAGAGCCTCAAGTTTTTCAAGTAATGTCAGACAAAGAATTTGATTCTAACATATTGGAGAAGAAAAAAGATAAAGATTCTTTCTTAAACTATCAAGATATATTTCTAAGTAACTCTTAGAAATAATGAAGCTATATTAGAGTTTCAGGCCCTCTGTTAATTCAATTTGATCTTATTTTAATGTCCTATTTATAGTAATTTAATAACTCATGGTAACGATAATCTTTCTGTACTGTTTCAGAGCACATTGTCTGGCACCAGCATCAATATGTGTTTATTCCATTTTGAAGGGCTAATCTAAGAAGATGTTTAATTATCACTTGATAAGTCTCACCTCCAAATGTGATTATAAACTCCTTTATAGAATATATTTTCCCCAGCCAATCATTCTTTGCACTCCCTCACATCCTCCATCCAAAAGTAAAGAAAGAGGCACAGCACTTTACATGTATTAATAGATGTCAAATAAAAATCTGGCAAGTGATTAGTTGATGATCATTCACCTGCTAATGCCCCCAGCCCCGTATCCCACTCCACTCTTAGAGCACAAGTAGAAACCAGACATTAAGAAAAAAATAACCATTTGTTATAATAATTTTAGTTTCTGCATAATCTATGCTATGTAGAGCATCTGGATAGACATTACACACCAAAGCAGTTAAGGAGATCACATTTAACTCTCAAACAGAAATGAAAACAAACTTGTTAAAAGGGGATTTTCTAAAAGCAGTTAAACACATTTTAAAATTATATTTTCCTACATGAAATTTAAAAACTTTACATTTTAAGTAGAGTCTCTTTGGCAGTTTCCATGTGTTTCACTACAATGCTCTGAAACATTGACAGCTCTAATGCATCCTGGCGATTGTGAAATTCTTCTACGTCAATTAAACGTAATTTTCTATAAAACAAAAAAGTGAACAGTAATTAACTTATGAGTCTTTTTGTATGTAGTATTTTTGCTAATTGACCCCATCTCAAAAAATTTGACATTCCTAGGCTTTATTATTAATATTTGTGTTTCATGAAATCAAATATTTAAGAATATGAGATATTCTAATTTTTAAAGTAATTAATGTAAGTAAATTCAATAGGAACACAATATATTATGAATGTATGAAAAGATGAAAAATGAAGTAAAAGGTTGAAATAACTGGGACTTAATAGATAGTTTAGACTGATTTTTGCTTTCAAACTGTAATCATTAATACAGAAAAAGAGAGAGCTCGAAGCTTACATGGTCCACTGCTCCTAAAACAAACACTGCACCCTCTCTGAAAAGAAAGCAATCCTGGATATTAGGGAGCCATGCGAAGGGGGAATTCTCACACTTAATGATTAAGACCCAGTGTGTCAGAATCTTGCAAACCTGTCTGGTTTTGATCTTTTTAGAAAACACAGTGCTTACTCCAGTCAACAGATTTCAGTACAACCCCTTTTCTGACTGCAATGCTATGGATCTTTGTTACATGCATAGCTTAGTCATTTAAGAATTTCCTCTGTTGGGAAAACTGGACAGCCACATGCGAAAGAATAAAACAGAACCACTATCTTACACTATACACAAACATTAACTCAAAATGGATTAAAGACTTGAACATAAAACCTGAAGACATAAAACTCCAGGAAAAAAACTTGGGTAGTAAGTTCATCCTTGACATGGGTCTTGACTTTTTAGATCTGATACCAAAAGCAAAAACAAACAAATGGGACTAAATCAAACTAAAAGGCTTCTGCATAGCAAAAGAAGCCATCAACAAAATGAAAAGCAACCTACTGAATGGGAGAAAATACTTGAAAATCACATACCTGATAAGGGTTAACCTGCAAAATATATAAAAAATTCATACAACTCAACTGCAAAGAAAACCAAACAACCTGATTAAAAAATAGGCAGAGGATCTAAATAGACATTTTCCAAAAAAGCCATACAGATGGCCAACAGGCACATGAAAAGATGCTCAACATCACTGATTATCAGAAACATACAAATCATAACTACAAAGAGATATCACTTCACACCTGTTGGAGTGGCTAGTATCAAAAAGACACGAAAAAAGTGCTGGTGAGGATGTGGAAAAAGGGAACACTTATATAGCGTAGGTAGTGCAGCTGCTATTAAAAACAGTATGAAGGTTCCTCAAAAAAATTAAAATAGAACTAACATATTATCCAGCAATTCCACTTCCAGGTATTATCCAAAGGGAAAAAACACTAACTTGAAAACCCACATATGCACTCAGCATGGTCACGGCAGCATTGTTTACAGTAGATAAAACATGGAAACAACCTAAATGTCCACTGGTGGAAGAATGAATAAAGAAAATATGACATATATACACAGTAGAATTTTATTCAGCCATAAGAGAATAATGAATTCTTACTTGCAAGAACATAAATGTGGAATCTAAAAAACAAACAAAAATCTGATTTCATGGATTTAGAGAACAGACTGGTGGTTACCTGAGGCAGGTGAGGGAGTGAGCAAAATGGGAGAATGGGGTCAAGTGGTACAAATTTCCAGTTATGAAGTGAGTAAGTCATGGAGAAATAATGCACTATATAGTGACTATAGCTAATAATCCTGTATTGCTCACTTATTTGAAAGTAGCCAGGAAAGTGATCTTGAGGGTTCTCATTATAAGAAAAAGAATTTTTTTGTAATTATATATGGTGACTGATGTTAACTGGACTATTATGATGCCTCCATAGAAAAAAGCATTTTCTCTTGCAGATGAACTAAAATGAAAGAACAATATTACCTGTTATGTAACACAATTTAACTACAGATCCCTCCCATATTGAAGGAACTGTAATTTAATTTCCAAGTAAGTGATATTTATGTTAACTGAAAATCAATGAACACTATGAAAAACTTCACATTTAATTTTTATTTAATGACCAATATAAAATACTGGTCAGATATTTCAAATCTACTTGTATTCCTTTCACAGGCTAAACTCCCATCTCTTAGGTTATACTGTGTTTGATAATACATTAGGTACAAAGTAGGTACATTATTGGAACATGCTTAGTTACATGTTATTCTGGACAATTGAGCTGGGTAATGTTTGAAATAAAAGGCTCCTGAAATGCAGTAGAGCAGCACATATTACACATAATCTCTCTTTATGCTTTTTGGTCAACATTGTCACCATGACTTTCTGTTTTGAAGCTGTAGCTGTAAATGAGAGCACAGGTGCATGCAGCATGAAGCAACAGGAAGTGTGGCTTGAGGGTGGGAGCCTGAAATTCACTTTGCTCCTGAGCCACCAGACAATTTCCCCACAGCTCCTTATCATTTGGTTTGAGACAGAATTCTAGTCGGCACAGGCCACCTGTCTTTGATGTTTTGAGACTGAAAGGCTTTTCACAAGTTTTAAAGTATAATTTTCTCACGAAAACTCTGTTGATAACATTTCCCATTTGGTCAGTAGGCTGAACTGTTAAGTTGAGAAAAATACTATTAGTCACTCTTCCTACTTTCTCAGCATGATCCATACAACAATTCAGCGGTACAACAGTTGAAACTATTGGTTTAAGACATAGGAGGAATCGGGAAAAGGATTACTCACTGTACAGTAGCTTGAACTTGGTTAGCCAAGTGAAAATGTTTAAAAGTCTCTAAAAGTTTTATGATAACAAATTTTCTAATTGCCAAAATCTCTTCTTCATCTCAATTTTCCATTAATAGAACCAAATAATAGCCCCAAATCACTCAGACTGTGAACCTCAGGATCTTCTTTGAAAGAGGATGCTACTTGATGCACATCACAGCCTGAAATCCACCTTGACCCTTGGGTCCATCACTGATTTCAAGCAGGAGGATTTCAACAGTCTCGGCTAAGTACTATGGACTGAGCACCAAGTCAGCCTCTGACTTTGTTGTCTAGTTTTCAAAACTAATCTCACTTTTTACTGGGACAAAGTTGCCCCCAAATCCTGCTCCAAGTGCCTACATTTCTTACCTGTTTCCCTTTATGAGAAGCATGCTTTGCACTTGCTGGTTCCCCTCCTTTATTACCTTCAAAGTGGCACCCTCTAGGCAGTGTTCTGTATTTGTTTTCACTTTTAAGAATACATCCTGAGACTTCCCACATTAGCACATTGAGCTTTTCCCATTCAGATTTTATAGCTTTGTAATATTCCATTGTGTGAATGTACTACAACTTACTGAACCAGGTCACTATCAGTGCAGATTAAAAAATTGCTGATGACAGAGGTGGCGTCACTAAGAGGTGCTGTGGAAGGGGTAAAGGATGCAATGGAAGCACGAGAAGCAGCCCAAGAACACAGGGTGCAAGGTGCTGTGGGGGAAGTGAGGGTGTAGTGGTGCCGCCTGCTCCAGAAGTGGTAGAGGATATATCAGAGAAGGACGACATACATGGTTGTTCTCACTCTTTTATCAACAAATGGCACAATAAGAACCGAATACCTCTATCATTTCCTACACTTTCAGGTGTATCTGAAGGCTAACTTCCTGGAAGTGAGATTATTGGATTTGAGTGTAAATGACTGTAATATTGATAGATGTGGCTGGATTCCTTTCAAATGGGTGCCTATTTCTCCAAGCCTCACCAACAAAGTGTGCTGTCAGTACTTCGGGATTTTCCAATCTGATAGGAACAGAATGATTTCTCAGTGTGGTTTTTACTTAAATCTTTTTGCATTTCTCTTCTTATGAGCTACGATAAGCATCTTTAAATACCTTTAAGAGTGATTCAAGTAGTATCCTGAGTGCTGTACACTAAACAAATCCATAGTGTTTTAATCTAATAATATTTTCTTGGCTCACCTTTGTCAAATCATGAATTTTTAAAGTCCACTTTATCTTTTAAAATAAGATTCACCTTCTTAGAGATGTGCTTTTTATATTCAACTACCTAAATTTATATCCTATGATCACTTCTATGCTTATATATATATATACACATTATGCTATGTATATATATAGTATATATATGTGTCCTCATATATACCCTATTTTTCAAGCAAAAATACCTATGACTCCATTACAAATGAGGTCTCTGACATTAAAGGGGTTCTGTAAGTGTAAATACTGAATGACATGAATTTGCAAACTCCCACCTAGAGCTCATCCCTTCAGGTTTCCATACTCATGCATTTGGAGTCATTCAGGTGATTTTTTTGCATTACTATCCCCAAACCACAGTCACACAGAGAAATGTCCTATATTTCGAAGACTTGCTGAGACTCAGGGCAAATGACCATTACCCAGAGTAAGGATGCCCTGTGTGGATACTGGCGTCTGCTCAAAGGAGCAGTGCCCATGACTGTGCACTCCACTCTAGTATTTGCACAGAGAACAAAGATGACTCCTGCCCACAAGGCAGCATTGAAGTTGGTGGGGTCCTTTCTCCCCATAGACCGCACAGCTTCTTTCTCATTTGTCTTTATCCTCAGTACCTCAAGGTTAGCTCCAGTTGCTGCTAATACCTCCACCACCAGGACCATGGATGCTAATTTTGAACACATCCTCTGTTATAGCACTATTTTCTCATCTCAGTTTTGCTTTGTCTTCCCCTTCCTCCTTTCATTTTCCTGTCTCTTGCCTCATGATACTGTGTAACAAAGTCTAGTCCTTTAAGGAAACAGAGCACTTCACCCAGCATCCAGCACAGTATATTTTAGCAGTTCCATCTGTGAATGGATACAAAAGAAAAAACTATGGTGGTGTTCTGAAAATGAAACGTATATAAACATCCTTTGTGAAAGTGATATACTATATTGTATGACCTCATGACTGCATGCAAAATTAGATCTTGGGCCTTCTCAGGGAGAATTTCTTGAGCCCCAGTAAACTAAAAGGAAAGAAGTGAGAAAAACATGGGGCAGAGAGATGGTCTCTTTCTATTCCTACAAGTCAAGGTCAAGTAGAAAAATCCACAATATACAATGTAAGGATGCACTTTCTAACAGTATGTGGTCGAACCAACAAAAGCCGGTTTTATGCTATGTTATATACGTGCTTGTGGGTACAATATATACTTGGTTTTATGAGCATAAGAAAAATATGGAAAGAACCCACCTGATGGCTACCATGTGCCCTTGGCCAAGTTTGTGGAAAGAAGGGCAGGTGTGAGGAAAAGAAAGGCCAGTCGGAGTAAGGCAAAGAAAAAAAAACTGCACTTAAAAAGTGTTCCTGGCCATCTTAAGGTATTACATAAAATTGCATATGTATCTGTATAAAGAAATTCAATTAAAATTTGTTAAAGGCAGAAAAGGAGAGAGGGATGGAGTGAAGAAAGGAAGGGGGCTTAGACACCACAAGTCATTTTACCTGTGGGATAATGGAGCCCCGGGGAGTGCCAAGGATGAGCTAGAGAGCCTATGGTCAGATGGGGCCAGGGCCGGAGCAACGCCAGATGGCTCCGCTTCCAGGAGCAGGCTTTGGGAACAGGATTAGGTGGGCTAAAGATTCTAACTTTGGAAGGAGTTCAGAGAAGCTGGTGGGTGAGGCCCACCCTAGTGTATGTCAGGGGGGCTCCCAGGGCAGAGACAACAGCTGCTTCAGCTATACCCATAGCTTCTAGTGCAGTTCTAAAGACAGCAGCTTTCCCTTCATTGGTCTGTGGAAGGCAGAAAGAGGTGCTCATTTATTATGCCCTTGTGCCGTTAGGACAACACATGCAATAAAAAACAAGAGGCTCTGGAGAGCAGGTCACGTGTGAACTGGGGGTTGTGGTTCGTTGGGGATGTCCGGTGGGGGATGGACTGGTGAGAAAAGTCTTACCAGATCACCTTGGAAACCTCCGCTCTATCATAAGGAAGAGACCAATTCAGGTTTTGAGGGACTTGAAAGGAGGCCTTCTTTAAGAAAAATAATATAAATTTGTATTACTTTTGCATATTTTATAAAAACATGTCCAGGGGCACATGACTTTAGGACACCCTCCAGGGCCTTGTAAGCAGCCAGCCAAGGGAGGGGATGTCAAGCAGGAGCTTCTAAGCTGTGGGGTAAACTGTCCTCAGCCCTAGGGCCAAGCTCTTGAGTCCCACAGCACACACCAGTGTCCACATCCAGCCCTGGCAAATGCTTCGTGTGTTCCTGTACCATCTCCACCATGCCAGTGCCTACAAGGTGATGCATGACCCCAAAGAGTCACCCAGGAACTGCAGCTCACACCATTCACGTAGCAATATTCACTAGGTTTGTACACCATCGAGATGATTACAGCAGCTATCGTTCTGAGGATATAAATCAAGGACTGACAATTCAGCCCCTTTATTGTGATTGCCTGGGAAGTATGTGTGGTATCAGGCAGGGGATGGGAAACGTAAGGGAAGAATGGGGTTAGAAATAAAAGGCAAGCTTCACTTTTTACTCTCTTCACTTCCATGTTATTTATTTAAAACAATGTTTAAATACTTGTGTCAAATATGTAGGGTTTTTTAAGTTTGCAGTTAAAATAGTAAAAGAAGTAATTGGGATGTAATAAAATAACTTTCATCTCTCTTTTTAAAAAAAGCTAAGGCAGGCCAAAAATACTCACTTAAAAGTACTGTGCCACGAATCTAACACAGCCAACATTGTAGGGTTCATTGCATTCAAGTGATCCCTAATATAACTGCTTGCAGCTAAAAAAGATTTCCTCCAAGGTTTTGGAAGGATTTCCATCCTGAAAACAGAAAAAAATATTCAGTTGTTTTCTTTAAAAATTAAAAGAAAGTATTTTTATACTCAATGTACTTTTAGAGTAAAAATGATTTAATTTTAAAAGCAAATATGTATCCCTCAGTCAATGACAAAACATGAAATTCTATGTTAAAATAAATAAATATCATACTTCTTTTGGTTTACTATAATTTCAGGACAATAATTTGTGCATATGAATTTAGACTTGAATCTCTAACACATAAGGTAACTTGTTTCTCTAAATACTTAAGTCCACAAGTAACTCATAACAATCAAATTTAGAAACAGCCAGCTATGTTTCATATACATTTTGAAAGATTTTATTAATTTCAGGGCATAAAACACTTAAATTTTTCCTTTATTTTTTTGTAAAAAAAAAAAATTTCGGCTGTTTGAAGTTATCTCTGCTTAGATCTGTCTGTTACATAAAGAGATAAGTCATTCTTCAATAAGATACGTATGTTTTTTTTTTTT